GTTCGCAAAAAGGTAGTTATCAATTTTAAAGTGAACCTCGCTCACGGTCATGTCCACAGATCGTATCGCGGTAATAATACGTTCAAGTTTACAGTCCCAATGAATCCTACAGTCTCATTATTTATGTTAATGGATCGCCAAGTTAGCTACGTTTTACAACGCACCATTCCCATAGGATTGAACGAGTTGTGTAAAAACTTTAGATTCTTTTGATCAGGGAATTCGAAGCGAACAAGGCAATACACTTACCATAAAACTTATAATCATTTAAAGTATATAAACAGTCTGTTATCAGCAGGGTGAGGAAGTCGAAAACTTTTAAAGTTTTTTGATTGTACATTAAATATATTTATTTTTCAAGAGAGATTAAACCAAAAATACAATAAATCAAACAAATAATTGTTTCCTAGAATTAAAAAAACATTAATAAAACGTACTTAAAAAGGATATTTTCCGCATAAACCTTTGAGTTTTTCCCAGTGGCGGATCCAGGATTTTGATAAGGGGGGGTCCAAAATTTTTTAAGGCGGGGGGTAGAAATTTTTTTTTTTTCCTTGAGATATATGCATAATTACCACGTACAGTGGCTCGAAGCTTATTTCGTGCAAGAACAAAATAAAATTTCAAATCGACATTGCTGCCAAACTAGAAAAGATATCAACAAAATTTCAACGCAGTAATTTAAAGAAACTCTTTATTAACTATTATGACAAAGAAAAATTTACTAATCTACAAAAACAAAACAACTTTTCAAATAAAAATAAAAAAACGAGGCACTTCTGACTTCGAAGCTTATTTCGTGCAAGCACTTTAATGTTCAATAACTTAACTATTTCTTAACTTTTTTTTAGCTCCTATCCGTTTGTTAAGGGCTTTAAATTAATTTCATAAAGATTTCAACATTTTTCTAGTTGTTTTAACGTGTATTTTAGCCCACTTCTGCAGTAAAAAAATCTTCAGGTCATTTTCGTTGGAAAATCCACTTTTTCGAATCTCCAAGTCCAAAATTTTCAACAATTGTTCAATAAAATTTAAGTCTGGAGACTGTGTTGGCGTATTAATCCCATTGGGACAGTTCTAGATCAAGAAAGGGCTACAAAAAGGGCCGGGTTGCACCAAACCAAATATTCAACGATCTCGAGAAGCGCTGTTTTGTCCGGAAAACTAAGGAACACCTCAAGCTATCGGTTTCAAAAATTGCTGCGCAGATTGAGATCGAAATTGTCAACAAATTTTACCCAAATACAGTTCGGAACATATTGCACCACCATAACTTTAATGATCAAGTTGCATGAAAAAATATATTCAAAAGTATACAAATATGATGCCTTGGGTCAAGTTCGCCATGGTGTTAGAAATTCGGCCGATTTATTTCTGGAATGACGAAATTTAAGCAGACGAATCAATTTTTAATTATTTTGGGTTGTTTGGAAGACGCTACGTGAGGAGATGTTCCAATACGATGATGGAAACTAAAAAGTTAAAAGCAATGCATTGGCACGGCGGTGACCATGTCATGGTTTGGGCTTATATGGCTGCATCCGGGGCCGGGAACTAAGTTTTTATTGCCGGTATCATGAATGTTAATATATATTTAACAAATTACAAAGAAAGTTTGGTGAAAAGTGTCAATAACTTGGCTAAATGGAATCGATTTAGATTCAACCAAGAATATGACCCAAAGCCTATTGCTAGAAATATATGTTTTGGTTGATCTAAAACTGTCCCAACGGGTTTTGGCGGTGGTACCCGTTACCACAGCAACTCCAGAACGATCATTTTCGACTTTGAGGAGAATGAAAGATTATCTGAGAAACACGATGGGTCAAGAGCGTCTCAATGGTCTTGCATCTTTGAACATTCATCATCGCATAACTTTGACTGAAGACGAAATTCTCAGAAAGTTTTTTGAAAAACCTCGGAAATTTAAGAGTGAATAGAACCGTTTGTGGATCATATGTAATATTTTTTCTTGATTTATTATTCGAAAATAAATTTAAATTTTTATAAAACATTCAAAAAATTACGAATTTTTATTAATAACTTGGTGTTTCAACTCCACCAACATGCCCAATAAAAGCATAAAATTTGAAAGTATATGATCCCATGGGGGGGGTCCGGACCCGAAAACCCCCCCGTGGATCCGCCACTGGTTTTTCCAACCTCTGAACCCTTTTAAAAATCAGCTAAGAGGGCAATAAAGTACCGAAAACAAGGCTGCAACGACAACTGCAGCGAGCCAAACTTATAATTTATAAGCTGGTTTCCTTGTTCCGAGCGCAAAACACCTGCACAGGTCGGCTCTTGCCATCTCCCTCTAACTATAGGCCATCTCGTTCTGTGTTGCGCATGCGCAGCCGAGTACTTCTACTTTTTCTGCCGCCGCCGCTTGGTGGCTCTTACTTACTTATGTATGGTAGCTGGGCTGTCTCTCTCTTTTTTGTTGTTTTTGCATGAAATAAAATCTCACGGTTCAGATGCGTACAGAGTTGGCGAAAAAAGACAAAGAGCGGTAGAAGGGGGGAGAGAAGGGGGAGCAGGTGGTAGGAAGTCTGGGCAAAAACAAAACAAAAAACACGAAACCAGCCGTAAGTCGGTCGCAGAGGGGAGACATGCATGTGGGTTTGTTTTTTCTCTCTTTTTATGCTTTTTTGCAAGAAATACGTACTGAGGGAAAACTGGTTTCTGCAAGCTCGCGAGAGTCGAGCAATAGAACTGAAAATTTGAATAAACACCGCTGCACTGCCAAAAGTTGTTGTCCTTTTTAACGAGGCAATCCGCATCCGAGAATCCGTATTTGTATTTGTATCTGTATCTGTATCTGTACTTCATTCATATTTCGAGATGCTTAATGGGTCCATTGGGCTGCTTTTGGTCTGGTCTACCTGGGCCCAGGTAACCAACAGGTAGAAAAGGTCTTTGTGTGTGTTTGCACTGCTCATGGGAAATCACGCTGGCCGGGAAACCTGTTGTTGTTCCCTTATAACCAGAACGAAGGCGAAAAAAAGAGAAGCCGATGCCGAGGCAGAATCTCAATCTGGCAAGCGAACAGATGCACGATAAGCGGAGGGATCGAGAGATACAGATAGCTCTCACTTCCTCCCCGGCAACCTCTGGCTGAATGAATCGAATCCCTTTTATCAATCTTTGTCTTAGGCCCCCTTTGTCCCGCACCCCTGAATGCTGCACCCAGCACCTTGCTATTTCCACTATCTGAGATACAAATGCGAGTATCTCATGCCGATACGTAGAACTCGGCACAGTTATTGTTCACTTAACTGAAATACAAGCCAGCTACGACTATACTACAACAAATTACTCGCAAAAAATCTTTGCTTCTCTATTTTATTTAGTTTTATCTGTGTATCGTTGTTATCTCTGATGCGTAGATATAGCAAATATATTGTTTGGCTATAAAAAAATTATCAATTTTCTGGGTAACAGTATTAAATCATCTTGTCATAAAGTATACGATGTTCTATTCTGTTCCCCCCTTCAAGAAATCCATTTCTCTGAATCAGGTTAAAGTAATATATTTAAAGCTTGCATTATTCTAAAAATAGAATAATTCCCTCCAATTCAGAACCTTCGTGATCATAACATATATTTTACTCTTTAAATAACTTGGTTATTTCTGGAATTTGAATCCCCACAAACAGCAATTTCACTAAGAATGTGTTTATATACTGTTTCTGCCAGCTGGCGGTTCACGTTGCAGAAGCTCGACTGTGTGGTGCAAAAGCGCTTACCTTTCATATTGTCACTTTCCACATAGCCGGTCTTGCTGGCCGCTTTGGTGGTGGCGGCCGCCGAGCAAATGAGGATCAGCACCACCGGCAGAACGGAGCTGACGATCCACGACGATCCTTGCGATATCCTCATGATGATGATGATGATGATGATAATCCCGACTCCGGGGACTCCCGACTTTGCTTATTTTCACCAACTGTATAAACACACGCGAATCGCAGCGGATTTGTTTGTTTACTTCGAATTGCTTTTTTTTAGACTGGGGGATTTTGTGGGTGGTGCCTAGTCAAGCGTGGCCGACGCTCCTCCTTGCCCCATCTCAAAAAGCCAGACTTTGGCCGGCGCGTAATAGCGAATTCTCTATTTTTTTGACCCGATCTCTGCTTGTTTTATCTGTATTTATCTTTTTTCGCGAACTGAGCATGCAAATTGTAATGTGGCGAAAAAAAACAGATAACGCAAATGATCGCGCGGGGGCGATTACAAAAAAGCTGAAGCCAGTGCGAAACAAACTGGGCGATCACTTACACTCACTAATACACACGCGGGCGCTCTTGGCCGAAAAGCTCTGGCTTTGTCGTACAATAAAAACAATTGTGATTCCCTTCACAGAACTACACTTTATGATTTTTATTTTAAAATAATATTCTTAATTATTTTTATAAGAAATCCATTTTATTTGGTTGATATTATTTCGAGTTGATTTTCGAGTACCGATTTTTGTTGTGAGATTTTCCGATGTTTCCGAGTGCAAACCGACACACGGGCAGCGCGTTTGAAAATGTCTTGAAAATTTGAAGTTGAGCGGGCCATGGTGAAATAAATGTAAGGTAGTGTCGTCGGGTCCGTGGTGAAATAGGAATAAGGTAATCTCGTCGGGCGTAAAATCGCTCGTGTCCAGTCCCTAATCGTAAAAGGCAAAGGCGCCACCAATCGCTAACGGAACCCGGCTAAACATTATTTTCCCGCTAGTGGCGCTTTTTTCAATTTGGTTAACAAACAAAGTTTGACAACGAACTCATAAACGTGAAAACGGAGGTCAACGTTTTCTTTTTGGATGAAAACCGTGCAAAACCCGTTTGTAAATTGCGTGAGAAACCCGAAAGACGCACTCGATAGTTAACGGACTGATATGGAACCAGATGGTGTTGCCAGATGGGTTAATAAATTCCAGGTATAATATTTTAGACTGTACTGTTGCCTTTGTATTTTATACTTACTTTTGGTATTTTATTCCGGTTAATGATACAGTCATACTAGTGGCTTGTTGTTGTGCTAAAAAATAACAAAATCTAAACAAACAATAAAATGAGTAAGTTTCAAACATTTAATGGCAATGATGAAGATGAAAACGAAACTGAGCAGAAATACGCACACCTTTTAAGTGAGTAAAGCGTACCATATATCTGCGCGATATTATTGAATCTGATATTTCCTCCCCACAGATTCGGGAAATGAGAATCACTCGGTTTTGGAAAATAACTCGGGAAAAGCCAGTCGTTGCAAGTGGACGGATGAGGAAGTTGAATCCTTCCTGGGGATCATCCAGCAAATGAAACTGCAGTCTCCTCTGCAAAGATCTCGCAATGCCAAGGTTTTTAAGGTTATATCCAGAGAAATGGCTAGGAAAAACTGTTCCAAAAGCCCAAAGCAGCTGAAGATGAAGTACCACCAGATGAGGCGACAGTATGTGAGGGCCAGGAATAGCGGGGAATCATTTGATCATTTCGAGGCAATTCACGAATTGATGCAGGGAAACGACGGCTCCGATCTGGAGGGAGATCTAGAAAGCGACTCGGATGGCGATGGAGAGAATGACGAGGACCATTTCGGTCCCATCTCAGAAACTGAAGGAGATGGTAGGTTTTTAATCTACCTGTAATCTACAATCAGCTTATGCATTTTGATATCACTTACTCGTACTTCTCCAGATGCCTTGGATGCCTCCTGCTCGTCAATCAACATCAATGCCCGGTGCAGATGGGCCGAGGGAGAGGTAGACTTGCTCCTTGACCTGATCCACTCGCTGGGACTAAGGTCAGCCTTGCTGCGGAAGCGCAATGCCAAGGTATTCAAGCTGCTGGCCAAGGAGATGGCGAAGCGCAACTGCAACAAGGGAGCGGATAAGTTGCGCATAAAGTTTCAGCTGCTGCGGAGGATGTACAACAAGGCAAAGAACGGCAGTGGCGAAACTTTCGAGCACTTTGAGGCCATGCGACAGGTCTTGGATCCCACCGAAGAGGAGGCTGCCGCAGAGGCTGAAGCAGAAGGACATCTCAGTAGTGGCAGCGAAAGCGAATTCAATGATAGCGATGACGAAGAAGGTGACGCCTCTCAAAAATTCGGAGGTATAAAAAGTCAAATATAATTCTAATTATAATGTAGTTTAAAATGAAACCGTTCTCCTACACAGCTCACTTTTGGACAGACGAAGAGGTGGATTCATTCCTGCTTATCATCAGGGACAATGGTTTCTTTCGAGCCTTGGATGGTTCAAGAAAACGCAACTTCCAGACCCTGGCGCACATTTCAAATATCCTGGCCAAACAGGCCATCAAACGCACTCCCCACCAGTTGCGGAATAAGCTGCGATTGCTCTTTAAGCGACATCGCGAGGCCAAGGAGCATGGTTTACAAAATGTGAGAATTTTGCCCCGTCACTTTAAGCTCTTTGATGAGTTAATTCAGGCGCCGCGAGAAAACAGAAAGAATGCCATTCCAAGGCCCGCCCGCCACATCAAATCATCTCTCTCCAAGCAAACCAACAAGTCAAACATTCCGCTGGAGAGCGACAGCGAAAACTCCGACTCCAGCTGTGATCTTCTAAGAGCTGCCGCCGAAAGCGAAGACTACGAAGATGTCATGGAGATGGAGGCGGAACCCACACCCATTGAAGCACTCACTGCCATTATGGAAGGCCAAAAGCAATTACTGACCCAAATCAAGGCTGCCAACGAGAGCTTTCTGAGGCAGCAACGCGAACAGCAGCAGCAATTCCTGGCACAAATTTCAGAGGTGATGCGTCGGGATCGAGAGGAAACCTTACGCAGGATCAACGAAATGCTGACGCCGAAATAATCAAAATCCGAGTCAAGCTTCTAAAACTTTTATTGAATTGAATTCGAAGTTATTGCAAAAAGTTGTCATTATTTATATATAGTATATGTATGTATTCTATATTCATATCGTGTGTGGTGTTTTTGTGACAGTGTCTCGTGTCTTTTCTTCGTTCATTGTGAACAGAATTTGGGCTGAAGATACTCGCAATTCGCAATTGTCTACGATTTATCTAGGTTGTTGTATAAGTATATACGTAATTTTGAGAGATTTTCATTGTTATTTGATATGCTACAATTTATAGTTTTCGTTATTCTTGGGGTTAAGTTAACAGTTGGTTTTTATTTTTAGGGTTTAACATTAAGCGGAAATGCTCGTAATCTTTGAGTTTCGTTTTCGTGTTGTTTGTATACACATATGTATATATTTTGTATATTGTACGTTTTACAACAACTAAGCAAGCTCGTCATAAAATATGTGTTGCACTCCAAAAAAAAAAAAAAAGAAAACGAAACGCAAATGGATAGAGGTAACTAAAATGCTGCTGCTGATCTGATCCGATCTGGCTTGATATATATATTATGTGTATGTTCGTTACGTTACGCTCAGGCACAAAGTGTAAATTACAAATATCTCTCCGCGACTCGAAAACCATAGGGAAACACAATCAATCAACGGATTCTCATTTGGTGGTTAATTATTGCATTCATTTACCTAGCGGTGTTTGAGTTGCTTGTGTATCAATATTACTATTAATCTCATTTTGTTTTTTGTTTTTTCTTTTTCGTTTTTATTTCTGTTTTTGAGTTTCTGTGGCTTTGTGTCTCTTGGAGCACGGCTGAAAGCTTGGCTTGGCTTGGCGGCTGCTGCTGCTGCTGCTTTATATTTCTCAGTGTGTGGTAACAACAATAACAAGGTGTATTCCTTTCGGGCGCTTTGTGTGGCTTCGATGTAACAATCTAAGAGCTGACCGGCTCGGGCAGTGGGTTCTCGGTGATGCGTATCTTGTTGCTCTGGGTGCCGTAGTAGAGGGTGCCCGATGTGTCCGTGGTCACGTAGGCACGGTTGCCATTTCCGGTTCCGGTTCCGCTTCGGGTTCCAGTGCCGCTGCCATTCCCGTTCTCCAGATCCGTATCCTCCTCCTCCTCGTCGTCGCCGCTGCGGTTACCCGCGTTGTTATTGTCCCCCTGGCCAGTGGTGGTGCAATTGATGGCCGTCTCCCGGAGCCGATTGCCCACCCGGAGGCTCAGCTGCCGCTGGCGATCCCGCTCCCTTTCCCGTTCGCGCTCGCGCTCCTCCATCGCCTGCTGCTGCTGCTCCCGGAAGTTGGCGAAGAAGATCGACGAGTAGGTGTGGTACTTAGTGCCACAGGGCGAACTCGCTGGCGTGGACAGCGGCGTTGCTGTTGCAGTTTTTTTTTTTAGAGTGGTTGTTGTTTTTGGGGGGAAGGTAGTAGTAGTTTGGCTTTTGTTATTTACGTTATGTCACTTGAGAACATGTAAGTTGTTGGTTGTTGTTCTTGATGGGTGTTTTTCTTTATACACTTTCTAAAAGGCTTGGCTGCTGTTTTTAAAATGTTTGTGTGTGGTATCTGTGGGTTTTGCTTAGCTGCGATCAAAATCAATGCAGATTAAATATTTTAAAGTTGTTAATATTTCTTTTATAAAAAACAAAAGGCTTTTAATTTCAATTTAATCCCTGAGAACTTTAGGTTTTAATACTTAATTTAATTGCTATTTTTATACCCTTGCAGAGCAAAGGGTATTATAATTTTGGCCAGAAGTTTGCAACGCAGTGAAGGAGACACCTCAGACCCCATAAAGTATATATATTCTTGATCAGCATCACGAGTAGAATCGGAATACGTCTGTACGTCTGTCCGTCTGTCCGTCTGTCCGTCTGTCCGTCTGTCCGTCTGTCCGTTTCTGCCTAAACTAGTCTCTCAGTTTTAAAGCTATCTCGCTGAAACTTTCCCAAAATGTGTGTAGTTACTGCATGCAGTATATAAGTCGGAACGGGCCGGATCGGCCGACTATATCGGATAGCTCCCATACGAGAGAATGAAATAAAAAATTCTTACTCCGTTGTTTTTGATCAGATCGACTTGAATTCTTCAAGATGGCGTTTTCTAACTGTTATTGAATTTCGGATTAAATTTGATCAAAATCGGATAACTCTATCATATAGCTGCCATAGGAGAGATCGAAAATTATATATAGAATTAATGGAAATAAATTGATAACATCGTTGTTTTTTATCCCACGAGCATGATTTTTTGAATATAAAGTTTTTTAACAACGTTTATATTGAGAAAAAAGTTTCATAAAAATCGGTCATCTATATCTTATAGCTGCCATAGGAAAGATCGAAAAATCTATATAGAAATAATGGAAATAAAATTATAACATCGTTGTTTTTCATCAGACAAGTATGATTTTTGGAATATAGAGTTTTCTTACGACTCTTGAATTACGAATTAAATTTGATCAAAATCGGACAACTATATCGTATAGCTCCCATATGATCTATAGTCAAAAATATGGAAAATGAATAGAAAAACCGTCTTAGCTTCGATGTTGTCTAGCCTTTATGAGTTTTGTTCGACATATTTGATGACTGCAAGGGTATATAAGCTTCGGCTTGCCGAAGCTAGCTTCCTTTCTTGTTCGTCTCACATTTTAACGCTTCATTAGGTATTACTGAAGTAAAAAATTGCTACAAGCTTGATTTAATATTTTTCAAAAGCGTAATTAACAATTGTTTTACATCAAAGATTTTGTTATTATTTATTATCTATCATTATTTTAACCGCAGCTGCTGTTTCTATGTGTGGGTGGTGCAATTTGCATGATTCGATATGAGAGCGGCGACAATCTGCTGCTGCTGTTGTTTCTATTATTATTATTGTTGTTGTTTGTTGTTGTTCTAGTTGATGGACGAGATGGAGTGGGAGGGAAGAAAGCTGGGCTGAGATTTCGCGATGATCGATGAAGTGATCAGTGATCACGATTCGATGGCTGCATGGCATGCGGATGTTGATGTGGCGCCACCGGTTGCTGTTGGGATTGGATGTTGCTGCTGGGACGACGATGTTGCTGCTGCTGGGAAAGAGACGACGCGACTCCCTCTGGCCAAAGACCCTAAATCTCTCCTCAATCCGTACCGTTACAGTTCGAAATTCACGTTGTTCGTTTATTTGGAATTCTCAAATATACAACAAAAGCTTACACTTTCAATTTTCGTTTCTTGTATCGTTTTTCTCGACTTGCATATGGTTAGTGTATGTAATTTGTATATAATAGCGTTGTCATGTATGTATATTTGTATAGAGTGTATAAACTTATTGCTTCCGTACATTTAAGCTGTGTGGGTGGTGAAAGCAGCCCACTTTTAAGGCAGGTGGAAAAAAGGGTGACACAACGAAGGGTAATTATGTAAAATACACATAAGCAATGCATTTATTTATGTAGACAACAAACGTAATGGAAACTAAATCTTTTGCTGCTGTCCACTTTTTAGCTTACTAACTAAAGATCGTATTAATTACAAAAAATGATTAAACATAAACAAAAGAGCAACAAAAAAATTTCAAGGGAAATCACAGAAGAGGAGAAACCGAAGCAAGATATATTTGCTCTTAAAAGCAAAGCTGTAAACCTTTTTTTTCAAGTGGTTTTTTGTTCTTTTTGTCTTGTGGGTGTTGGGTGATCATCCAATTGCTCTCTCTCTCTCTCTCTCTCTCTCACTCTGCCCCACTGAATTCGGGGGATGTGCCGCTGCCGCTGCTTCTGCTGCTGCTGCCGCTGCCAACTGCCGTTGCTCTCTCCAATCGCTCTCTTCGCTCTTTAACCGCTCTGAATCCGTTCACTGCACACTGAGCTCAATTCGCGTGGAACTGCTCCGACTGGCCGTTGAGATTTTGCGCGCCAACTTTTGCAGTGTGCCAACAGCTTTCGGGTTTTAATTCAAATTGTTCAATTGTTTGTGATTGTTGTTGTGATAACAGTTTTCGTTGTTGTTGTTGATGTTGTTGTATTTTTTGTTTTCAATTTGCGTGTAAATAAATAAAACAAATGAAAGGTCAAATAAATTAAAGAGTTATTCTAAACAAAAGGCGTGTGCGAGTGTGTTTATGTGGAGGAGAAAATTAAAGAGCGTTGGAAAAGCGAAAGCGTCACAATTGCCCAGTTACCCAGGTTGCACTGTACTCATCAAGCAAATCTACGTGGATGCAGGCATTTGCACTTCAGCTCTTCGGATCTTAAGGTGGCTAAGGATAGATGAATAAAAACATTGCTTATAGCACACAATTCAGTTAATTGAAATTAATAAAATTCCCAAGATAATACAATTTTTTGTTTTAAATTATTATTTTTATATCCTTTTGCACCTTAAAATATCGAAAGTGCCTCAACTTGCTGTGTGAATGTGTGTGAGTGTATTTCTTTAAGCTCTACTTTTTCTATATATCTGTATATACGAATGTTAATTTGAATTATTGTATTAATTAATTAGCTAAATGCATTCCAACTAGATTTCGGGTTTGTTTTTTGCAAATTTGTTAGGTATTTTACTGCTTCGTGCTTCGGATGGCAGCTCTTCCTACTGAGGTTTCTCGGAAACTACGATCGCAGGTGCGTTATGTTTGTGTACAAATATACATACCATATATACGATTATTATATTTAGTTTGTTGTCGAAATTATACAGAACGCGCAGTTGCATTAGGTTTTGTTTTTGTTATTTCAATTTTTTCAGAGGGATTAGAAAACCAATTTCGAAACGAAAAGAAAATCAGAATTAGAATAGAATTGAAGAGAACGGAGGAAGTCGTAGGTGAATGCAGCAGAGACCAAGTCGACGGATTGGATTGGATTGAATTGGCCATGAAATCGAATGAAGGTCGCGTGTGCAAGGTCATGGATTTATGGGGTGAGGGTTGTGACATTTTCGATCGATTGAAGTTGCAATTTCGTGTAAAGATTTTGTTTGTATATTTTTTTTTCATTTTGATTCGTGTTGCGTGTTGTTCGGTTGTTTTTCGTATAATTTTTTTTTGGCATTTTTAAATATTTTTTTTGTTTTGTATGTTGGTTTAGCAAAAACAAGCAGTTTTGGAGAAAGGAAAAAGAAATGAAAAACAAAGTAATGAACATCTTGAAATATCTTTTCTTGTTTTGTTGTCTTCGTGGATGCGAAATTGTCTGTATTCTTTTGGGGTCCTAACTATCGGAGGAAAAGGGGTTGGAGGTGGATAAATATGTGTGTAGAAAGTAAACGCTTGATTTTCAACAACTTTTCGATTTTTATTTTGAAATACTTTGTTTGCGTACAAATACTTGGGTTTATCAACATAAATATGAACGATTTTTAATTTAAATTTTAGCTTGTTTTTTTTTTTTTTGTATAGTTAACCAATATATAAATATAAAATTTTGCACAATCGTTTTTTGGTTTCGTTTCATTGCATCTCAAAAAGCTTTTGATTCTCAAATATTCTCGTTTTAGGCTAAGATCTGGTTGGGTCAGGATCGTTTGTGTTTTCTTCAGTGTGCGTGTGTCTCTAAAGAGGAAGAATTCAGGGGCTAGACTAGGAGCATCTCCTGAAGGGGTAAATTGAACTGAACTGAACTGATTGGAACTGAAGCTATCGGCATTTCTTGCTCCGATCGAAAGTTATAGACTAGAGGAGGCTGCTCAACTGCGGACAGTCCCAGTCGCCGGGTCTGAAGAACTTGGCTAAGACAGTTAGGTGGTTAAGAAGTTGTGGTAGTTGCGGGTTAATAAAGGGGATTAGATAGATAGAGTGGGTAAAGTAGATTGTTGAGATTGTAGCAGAGATTGCTGAGGTTGTTCAGTTGTTGTAGCATTTGATGTTGCTGTTGTTCTAGTTGTTCTTGTTGTTGTTGTGGTGGTTGTAGGTGGTGGTGTGTGCGGTGTTCTAACACTTACCGTAGCCCTCGCCCTGCAAGAAGAGCCGGAAGGCTTCGGCCAGCTTGGCCGGCTGCTCCTCCAGCACCAAAGCGCAATCGGAAATCTATTGGCAAAGCAAAAAAATACGTTAAAATCAGTCTTAAAATCCTTAAAAGTGCATACATTTGCGGTCAGAATAATGCAATCCAAAATATAACTTTTGGTATCCTACTATTATAACCGCATATGTATAAAAGTTAACATTTCTAAGAACCTTCATCCAGGATGAGTTTGTGGGATCCAAGCGGCCGTTGAAGGTCACCGTATCGTCGACGTGCGGCGACAGCGAACCCGTGATATTGATCACCGGCATCTTTAGCGTGGTGGCCGCCGTCTCGCTTCCCGGAGTTCCTGGTGGAGTGCGCGCCAGGTGCAGATCGTTGCGATGGATGTACGCGTTGATCAGCATGGCCAGGTTGGTCGGGTTAACGCCTCGCTCGAAGTGCTGCTTGTACATCTGCACCAGATCGTGATTGCGCTCCTCCGGATTCCTGCCGAAGTGGTGCCACATCAGGTAATCGATCACGCCCTGTGTCATTCCCTTGGTGCGCAAGAAACGGGCGTTGAAGCTCTGGTAGCCCCACTCGATCCAGCCCGACTGCGTGGACACGCAGTTGATCAGGCACAGAGCGCCCACCTTGTCCGGATGGGCGTGGGCGAAACGGGCCAGAATATTCGCCCCGGCGCCAACGCCGAAACCGATCACCGACTTCAGGCCAAAGTGTGAGAGCACGAAAAGCAGTTGGGCGGCCAAATCATCCATGGTTGGATACACGTAACTGTGGGTAAACAAATATTATCAGTGATGCTTTCCATTAAATATTTTTAATTTATAAATAGTTCAATAAAAATCAAGATGCAAAACCAATTTCACAACTAGTTTGGTTTACTTTACGCTATCAACTGTAACAAATTCTTACTCCTCTGGCAAAGTGGGTGCACCCTCCTCCTGTCCGGGAGCAGTCACATGGTAAACGCAAAAGTTCTCCAGCAAACCTCGCATCACTGGAAAGTTGAAGAAGCCAGCAAAGCTGGTGGCATCTGTAATGATAAGATTAGGATGATGAATAAGGATATCTTTTTTTGAGGAGTATGCAAGTACGTACAGTTGAGGCCCAAGTCGTGGTAGGTGACAATGGCCGGCTTGGCCGTGTCGCCCTGTATGGCCACGTGGACATCGCCCTTGTCTGTGGGCACGCGTCGCTGTTCGCAGGCCTCCAGAATGGAGCCACGGGAGTTGGGGAATTGCAGCTGCACGGAGCGCAGTTCGATGTCATCCATGGGATCAACGGGCATGGTGCTGTTGGATTAACATAAAGAGACTTTAGTTAATAATTTGCAAGACTGCAGACCCTAGAATAGCATCTTGTTTAGTGGGAGTTTCGGGCGGCAGCAGCGGCAATGGCGGCAGCAGCAGGATAAGCTGTTCATAGCCTGGCATCCTGTGAGTTTCTGTGTCTTTGTGTCGCGGGGGGTAAATGCATCCTGGTTTCGGATCTCATCTAGAGGCTAAGGACTACTGATCGGTGGGGATATATATATATATATTTCAGGCATGAGTTGGTCTCGCTGCTCTCCACTACTCTAGTTATGGTTTCATGTATGCAAAACTCAAACAAATCAAGACGTTAAGTATCGGTTAATCAACATTCGGAGAGATATAACAATTTGGGATGCTGTTACGGGTTTAATTGTCAAACTCAAGTCTAGGCATGTACTTACAAACTAATGGTTGTCTCTTAACAATACTAGAATAGTACTCGTAAATCAAACACTATGTGAAATGTTAATGAACAAAGATAACGCAAGATAAAGTAAAACGCAAAAGATCTAAACTTGTGTATTGTGAGAGTGTTCAGGGTGTCTTATTGTTTTTTTTTTCAACTGAGTGGCGTTTGTGTTTTCGTGTATTGCATATATCTTACATATTCGGAGGGATCGAGGGTTTGGGGCCTAATTACACAATTCCCTTGGGAGTTATCTTTTCGATTCTTTATTTCTGGTTGTGTTAAATTTTTTTTTTTTTTTGTGTTGCTTACCCCAGCAGGTGTGCCTCCTCGGCAGTGTGTGTTGGAGCTGACGGCATCTTGGTGGTCAGTGTCTTACCGGATTTGTCGCGGTCTCTGAAAGAGATTCTATGAGCATGCAAGCAAAGAATAACCAAAGGAAAACAAAAATCGAGGCAAGTTTCTGGCAGACTCTGTTCCAAATCGGCTAAAAACTTTCACCGTATATGTATATATATTCTTTTCTTTTATTTTGGGTGGAATTGGAGATCTTAAGAGTATATAAACAGGTCGGGAGAGTAAAGAGACAGACGACAGCGAAAACAGACACAAAGAAAGGAGAAAGAGAGAAGGACCAAATTTTGTTGGCTGGTTGATGGATGATGAAGCGGGGGAATTCTCGTCAAGGTCTCGAGGTCCTTACGTAAAACGTAAGCGAATGAGTCACGCAATGTCATTCGGGGTAAATGTCGATGGATGTAAGCGATGTATGAAAATGGCAAGCGACAAACAAGTGGCGCCAGGAAAATGCGACCATCTGGCATTCTAATTCGGCTTTCCTTTCCCTTTCGCCGCCTCCTCTAAAACAAAAACAGCTCCGTAAAACAGGAAAAGCGTGGAAGCGGGGCGGAAAACTTTTGTTTACCTACTCGCTCTTCTTGGGTTCTTGGGATAACAAAAAACTTTTACTGCTGGGACCGAACTCAATTAGTTAATGCTGCAGGTGTGGGAGCAACTCAGGTGAGAGCGAGGGAAGTGAGTTCATTATCCTCGGATTGCTACGCTAACATATATATATCTTGGGTCATGGCTGTTTTCATTATCACCTCTAATTGGTTACGTGATTGGGCTCGTAAGCATCCCGTTGGGTGTAATTGCATAAGCGAGCTTATGGCTGAGGAAAATGGATGGCCTGAAGGAAAACTATTACATTCTGAATTTGGTAAGGGAAACTTTTATACCAACTTGATTTTTAAATTTGATTGTAAAGATATAATTTATTACTTTTTGTTCGCTAAGCTATAACTATCAAGTTATTGACCTTGTTATTCAGTACATTTAAGGCGGTCAAGTAATCAATACAATTTTAGCGGCCTAATTACATGGCTCCAACATTTCCCCATTAATCCATTATTAATCTAAACAATCAATTTCTGGAATAGAACCCTGAAAACACCCTTGGGAAAAAATAATTGAAATGGAAAGGCACGAGGCAACTTGTGGTAATCAGCTATTTGCATAAGCTATCTTTGCTTTCTTTTTAATTTACTTTGAATCTCAAGAAACAACAACATAGCGAGCAGCTTAAACCGGTACGGCGACCAACCGGTTAGAACCGCTCGGTATCGGTTAACTTCAGGCCAGGGGCTAAGTGCAATGCACTGTTTAAAAGAATGTAAACAGAGAGTGCGATCTGGAGTCAGGGAATACGAGTATATGTACTTTATTTGTGCGATGAATATTAATTGGACTAAATCACTGGACGAGAACCACTTACAAACGATGTCAGTGTCTGCGGAAATATCAATTAAAACCACTTGAGATCGCCAGCAATCGTAAATAATCGTGAATTCTACAAGTATGAATAATTTCGAGAGTGACCGCAAATAGAACAAATGTGGGTCGCAGCCGGCGACGAACTAAACCAAACTAAACGACCAGAGAACCGAGAGTTCAGTTTATTTTCTGAGCTCTGTTTGCTGTGCTCTCGGGATTGTTGTATTGACAAAACTGCTAAAACTGCAAACTGCAGCCTGACCTTGAGCCATGGCTAACCAGAAGCGAAGTTAAATTTCTTCGCTGGGGTAAGAACTATTTTAAAATGCTCTATTTTGCGGAAATCGTTCACAGATTTTTCAAAATATTTTTCAGGTGGAAGCTGTATGTGGTTTATGTTAGCAACCGAAATTTAAGTAAGGGTAATTATAGAGAAAATTGCATCTTCAAAGCTTTAAGCTGCGTATTTCTTTAAGTTAATGCTGATGACGATGAAATGCGAAATGTGAGCAATGCGTAAGGTTTTAAATATACATCACATATATACATTAAATTCTTCCTTCTGGGCAAATCAAATCAAATGCAAAGTGCCTTAAGAACAAGTCAAGAAAAATGTAACTAAAACAGAAGCTCACAACAATGGCAACAACCACAAACAGTCAAAAGCAAGAAAAGCAAAAACAAACATTTCGGGTAGACATGCAATCGCAATTAAGCTCCAGGGGCTGGGGAAAAACTGTGGGCAAAGGCAAAGGAAGCTTTGATGTTCGGTGTTTAAGTGAACTACACAGAGATTAAGGTGTAATTAGACTTCTATACAGGGAATTTCTAGCCCTATAAATTACACTTAGGAAACATATTCAAAGATATATAAGAGGCTGAGGGCCCAGTAGTAAATTAGTTCTTGTTTTAAACGTTAGATTTAAATCAAAAATAAAAGAAAGTTTAAGCCGTTGAAAGTTAAATAATATTTTTTTTTCTTATTATGAATAATATTATTTTTATATTTTCTATAGAATTTGTTTAATTTCTAATCCGTTTAATATGGGGAAAACTCCTAAGTCCTAATAATCATTTGGACTCTAACTGGTTCACTTAGTTCTCTGTGTAGAATATTGTGGGTCAGTTGGGTGGTTTATCAGTGGGTTGAGTGCGACAGTGTGTGTTTAGTGGTCGTGCAAAAAAAAAGGGGTCGATGGATCCGGGACGGAGTGGTGATTAAGAGTGATTGGCGGAGAGCTCACCGTCGCATCGCCCGAACAAGAAGAAGAAGAAGAGGTGGCGGTGAGGTGACCCCGTCTGGGTGGACTTACCTGGAGCCGCCGACGATGACCGGCAGACGCTCCGATCGGAGCAGGTCCTCGCTGTCGGTGGGCGAGGACTTGATGGCCTGGCCAATGGCCCGCTTCACGCTCGCGAACACGGAGGGCGGGGCCGTGGGCTCTGTAGTTGACTGATAGATGGCGCCACCATTGCCGTTAACGGCCGGCAGCGATACATAGCCGCCCTCTGACTGTGGCATGCTTTCTCCTAGTCTCTTATTTAATTATTTATCGGCTATTTTCATATAACGTATCTCTCGGCTTTACTTGAATTTCGAATTTGCGTACTTAGCCTGCTTTGGTTTGGTTATTCTGATTGTGTGAAACTGAAACTTCCACTGTGCATGCAAGTGTCGGTGTGTGGGTGCGTTTTTTTGTTTTTGGTTTTTTCGTTTTGTTTATTAACAATGCATTTGATTCATCAGCGTCGAAATGTGTATTGTTATAGCCGGCAGCAGACAGACAGACAAATACATATTTTATTATTTTTTTTCGGGCAGCAGCAGCGCAGCAGCGGCGTCACAACGTCACAAAACATAAATCATATAAAAATAAAGAAGAAGAAGTGTACACAAAATTATAATAACAAAAGCAAAAATAATGATGATGAGATTGAGTCACACGAGAACCAGATTTGCGGGAGGTTCAACAGCGTCAAATGATTCGACATGGTTAAAAAAGCAGCAAGTCACTACAGTGAAGCAGCATTGGTTCAGAAAAGGCTAGCACCATATTAATATAGTTAGTTAAGCTTTAGGTCAACGGAAGTCAAACAATAAAGTCAGCAATTTTTAATTCAAAAAATTGTATTTGTTAATCTACAGCGAGCTTCAGCAGTAAAAACTCGCTGGGATAAGCCGAAACCAAATGATAAGAATGATTATCTTATAAACAATGTTTTTAAATTTCCAAAGATAAGTTGTGTGAAATTTATTACTTTTACAACTACAAATGTTAACCCTTATCAGTAATTTAATATTATGCTGTGATTTTTATTGTTAGCTAATCGATTTGGTTTAATCCCAGTTTATGGGGCCTTAAAGACCTTCCGAAATTCAAGACCCCAACCCCCATTTGCCATCATTATCCAAGTGCTACTGCGCGGGGAAACTGAGCCTGGGCGTCAATGTTCGTACTTGAAACAAAATATGCAGGCCAAGCCGCAAGGGGAAGGGGCGTGGAAGTGGGATTGTGGCACACAGAGAGACTGCAGCAACCCCCGGCATATCCCCTCTGCCCACAAACTAGCACATATGCATTACATTAACCCAGTTTGGGCCAAGGGTTGAGGCCTGCTCTCCACGTGCCCTGGCTTAAAGCCAAAGTATAACATAGGCATGAAAATTTCGCACATGCCCAGGAGGACATTCTATGCTTTTTTTTCTTTTCATTTTTCGTTCTTTTTTTTTTGGAGCTGATTAAGTGCGTCATGCGGTTGAAATTTATCAACTAATAATCACGGGGCAGGAACAAAGCAAATGCAAACGGTTTGCCCACTCCAAAGTTATGACGCAGCGACAGATACAGATAAATATGTTATATTATATACTGGACAAAGTGTAACTGTATAAATTCAAGCAACAAACAAAACAAAACTCGTTATGGCAGCTATTTTTTGCGTCTTACGATTTAGAACCCAGTCAAGCTGAGCAATTTGAATTCATTTCCAAGCTGGGACCACAGTGCGTATGATAGATGAGCCACCAGAGAGAACTCGCATAAAAGGAAAAATAGAAAATTGCGAACTCTTGGAGGCAGGGCATTGGTGATTTTAGAGTTTTATTATGCTGATGCCAACGACTTAAGTATTTTATTGCTCATTTAGCTGCAATGTTATCTGCATAATTTGGCCATTCAGAGTGAAAGAAAACTTTGGTCGTAAAAGCAAGTTGGTAATAATGAAAAGGAAACCCAAAAATCATGACCTGATAATTACACGATGCACTGCTGATGGTTTCCTGTTATCTTATCTTGTTATCTGGGACTCGAACAAAGTTCTTAACTACCTGATTTTTATAGAATTTCTTAATAAGAAGAAATATTATCTTCTTATATGTTGGTAACTTAGTAAAATAAAGTAAACTTGAACAGGGAATGCTACTTGTTTATCATTCCTTCTTTTTTTCAATGCTTGTTCAATACAACAAAGATAAAATTCAGCTGATTAAATAAAGTTAAAGCAAAGCATGACAATATCAAGTGTTCTTATTTTAAACTTTATAAAATGAACAATATTAATTTATATATTTATGTACATACATTGAATAATTAACTATCATTGCTTTATTATTTTTTTCCTAATTTATAATTTGGTGTTAAAGCACTTAAATGACATCGCATTTAAAGTTCCAATACCCATAGGCATTCGGAAATTTCGACGCCATCCTCCTCCACCCAGAAAAAGCTGTTAGTCGAGCTCAACTTTGACCTTTGCAGGGCGATTTATGGGCGCTGATAAAGTTGCGCTTGCACTTTTCACCTCGGCCACACAAAATGATATAATGGCACCAGCGCCATATTCAGATATATACTGTAGGTGGAATTACTATAGAGTATTGGTGGCAAGCGATTTATCAGCGGCAACTGGGCCACTTCAATTCCAATAATTGCAGACCAGCGTGTGCCATTTATGGCGAATTATTCATAATTACGATTGCACGTGAAGCGGAGCTTGAGGTGCAAGGAAGAAAGCCAACGAAATTAGCAACTGGCTAGAGGGAGACGGCTGGCAACACAGAATGACGTGCCTTGGCTTTTCCCCACTTGTTTTTCCGGCCTGCGCCAAAGGAGCACACGGAATATCGACAATTTGGCAGGTAGCCCACGGCAACCGTTGGCAGGTCAACGGGCAACAACAAATCCGGCTCCTAAACGTACATTCCTCCACTCAAGCTACTCAATAGTGTCCTTAGCTGAGAGTCATTTTATTTTTTTTCGGATTTTGTTTTCGACGTTCCAGTTGGCGAAGATTTTAAAAAACAATTGGCTATTTTTTAAAGCATTATTTCTGGGAATTTTTAGTTGAGGAGTTCTATATTATTAACCTGGTTAAAACTTTGCAATACATTTTACGTTCCTTTACATTCGGAATAGTTCTTTGTGGAACCTAAAGCAAATGGAGTTTGTTGTACTTCGAATTCCTTAAAAGGAAGCCGAAAACGACTTCCTTCTTCTTCGGAAAATACTTTTGCAACTGTTTTATTGACTGCAATTTGTCCGAGCCGTTCAAGGATATCGCCTCCGGTAGAGACAAATTTGCAAAACAAAAATTATTCAAATGTTCTCTGTGAGGGGTAGCCGAGCTACCTGGGCGTGGGGCGTGGCTGGGGATCAGAGGTTATGGGGCAGCGACAGCGGTAGCAAATCACATAAAGGAAATGTCACGCTATGTCAGGCCGCAGGCCAACGGAAAGAAAGAAAGTACAGCAGAAACGAACAAAATCACACGCTCAACGTCATACCGTTGTTGCAGGATATGGCAGAATATCTGTTGGGTGTGAAGGCGTGGCAAGGTGGTAGGGCGTGGGGCGTTGGACGTCGGGCGTCGGGCGGTGCAGGTTGCCCTACTGTTACGTGTTTGCAATCGATTTGAAAGTTACATAAAAACAGAGCCGCAGACCAAGGGCAAAATGGAGGAAAAGGAGGCAGGAGAGTTGGTAAACACCTGAGTGGCCAACAACAGCAGCAACAAGGCGCCAAAAGCAATTTGTGAGCCCAACTTTTCATTGTGTTTGCTTTTTCGGTAAACTGACCTACGCATTAAATGTGCAGGAAAGTTAAACAGCAGATATAGCTATATAGGAATGGCAGACGAAACGATGGCGATGGCGCCGACAGGTTACAGTAGAGCCATCAAAGGAGCAACCCCACCCACTCATTTCCACACCCAAAAGCCGCCAAGAGCAATAAAATTTCACAAAACAGCAAATAACAAATAACTACGAGAACAGTAAACACTGCCAGTTGGTGAACCAATTAGAGCAACTATTTAGGGTTACAGGTAAGTAATTCTTAATAGGCAACCAATTATTCCGTTTCAATTTTTATTTCTATTTCTGTTTCAGTTTACGCTGGGAAATTGGTCAAATAGGATTGCAATTAGCTTTAGCTTGAAAAGAAAAAACCTTTAAATGAAAGGCAGTGCTGAAAGTCTGTCCTCTATTTTTTTTCTCAAATCCCAAATATAGAACATTTAAGAATGTAATTTAGAAATTTAGTTTTCTGTAACGATCATAATAACTCTGTAACGAAAAAAAGCTCCTTTATGCCGGTTTTCCTCAGCAACAATACCCTATTGTTAACTGGGACAAGGTTTTATCTAATACCATCTTTCTCAGCTTCAAAGGCTCTACTGTGGCAGCTGCTGAAATGATTGCGGCGAAGTTTTCTGGAGGTCGTTTAGAGTGGAAAAGCGCCAGCTCCGAGAGAGAGCGAGTGGGAGGGAGAGGGGTGAAGAGAGACGGAGTAAAGGGGGAGGGCAGCAGGCTGCCATTACGTCAGAGCCAGAAGCCATTTGGGGCTTGTCAAAATTAACAGGCAGGAATAGCAAGAAAACCCAAACGAAACCAAAGCCAAAACTCACAGAAAAAAAACGAATAAAAACGAACATAATAAATGAATGAATTAGTAAAGATATGACAAGCACCAACAACAACAGCAACAACATGCATACAACAACTAACTGTTAACTAAGTAAAAGAAGAGTGCGCAAAATATATAATAGTGCTAATTGGAAAACAGATACTTGGATGCAAATGAAAAGTTTAGATGAGGCAGTGTTTTTCTTTTTTTTTAATGGGGGCGAGCGCAGAGAGTGAGAGAGAGGATAAGACAAAGAGAGAGAGGGGAGAAGTAGTAGAGAACTGCAACAAAACAAATGCAATTGGAACATGAGGAGGACGGGGAATTAGAACTGGTTAAAGTTATTACCCCCGCCCACCTCTTTCGCACCTTTACACTTTGCATTTGTTTTGTTGTCTGTTTGCACTTGTATGTGTGTTAATTGTGCCTGCTGTGTGTGAGAGAGTTTGTGTGTGTGCTTGCTTGAATATCAAAACTCACCTGACGCTTTCCGTTCTTTTTCCTCTCTTCTTCTCCTTCGAATGTGGGTCTCAAAATAGAGATAATAACTACTACCGCTTTTCCTCGCTCTTGCCTGTTTTTCAGTTATCAAAAAAAAGGCAGTTTTTTAATCGCACATCCACAACAACAACAATAAGAACGATGAGGGTCTATGAAAAATCAATATTCGGTCTCGGCCAACTTTTTTTCTTCAGCTTTTCATTTACAACTTGTGTAATTTGTGTGCTCGTTCTATTTCGTTCACTTATTCTCTCGCTCTCGCGCGCACGCACACACACACACACGTCCGCCGTTCGCGATTGCCAGTAGTTTTTGGGGATCAATTTCTTGTAATTTCTCCAGCTGCTTTCAGGTCTTTAATTTCGGTCGAGCTGCAGCGCAAATTTGTAACCGTGCGGAAGTGTGACCAAACTCGAATCGAGGCGAAAGGAGACCTATGTGACCGTATAGCCCAGAAAAATATACTTATGCTGCGGAAATACCGTTATCGCGCTGAAACGCCTTTATCCCCAATCAGGGTATTCCTTCAGCCGAACACTTACTTGTATAATTAATTACAAATTTAGACGAAAGAAAAGTCAAATACCGGTGGCACTAAGCTGCTTCAACTCTTAACATTTAGGTAGTTGTTGCTTAAAAGTAAATTTAATTTACTTGATTAAACTTTTATCCAAATCGCCCTCTTGCACAGAAAATGAAAAATTAAATACCAAATATGATTGGATAAGTGCTGGAACTTCTTGGTATATTTTTGAGTTCCATGAGGAGCCACTCTAAACATATGTTTGCAGCGTGCAAGAAGTGCATTCCTTGTTTTGAATTAAAACACTAAGAACCTTCTTCCATTTTTCTTAATAAGTTGGCAAAATACTGAATATAAAAAACTCCTTTCGAAGATACATTCCTAGGACCAGCAAGCAAGTTTGACATTTTGATGCAATCACGTGTTGACGCGCTGTTTACTTATTGAGCCTTTTTTACAGGCATGCCGCGGCGCTACAGCAAAGCTCTCAGATTGGTTAAATTAAACCAGTCAAACCAGACAAAAACTAGTGATAATGAGTCGGACTCCGAAGGAGATTTTCCGGAGAATGAAGAAGAAGAGGACCGGGTTATATGCAGGGCTCTGGAAAACGCACCTCATTTCTCATATCCGGCCGTGAACACTGGAAGTCTTGGGCAAATGCTGCACGATCAGGACGAAGATCAGGCGCAGGACTTTCCGAACTGCTCGGTCACAGTGCCACTCCCCCTTTTCCTGGCCCAAGATGGGCAAACTCCTCGCAGCGAAGCCTGCGCCCAAAGACCCTGCGCGTACGAAGAATGGACGCGGCAATTGCAATACTATAATTCCCAGTTCAATAAGCGAACCAAAAAGATGAAACAGCGGGAAAAGAAGCATGAGCAGAATGTCTACGATGTGAGTATTTTCGATATGGCGGAGCATATTGCCCGGCAGGAGAACGCCTTCTTCAGGGATAGCTACGATTACTATTATACCGGCGGAAACATCAACGTGATGCCATTTGAAAGAGGAGGCACATTGGCCATGCATGTCAGTGGTCCCAAGCTGAGGGATCTTAACTTCTCCGAGGTTAATAGCGAGGCTGAGCTATGGCAACCACTGCATACGGCAAGAATGGAGGAAAGCTCCAGTGAAATCTTTGAAGTCATTCCCATTAAGAGCGTGCAAGAAAAGCATGGTCATACGCTTTTGGCACGCTGTCTGAACGAGGTTTCCATATACGAACTGGAACGCCGGGACGATCCCGAGGAGCTTGAAAATTACGCACTGACTTGCCAAAGCACGTTTAGCAGTCTGGAAGCTCCATATGTTAGCGCTGCACAGTCGCTGGGTTATGCTAATACCTTGGCCTTAGCCTGCCAAGATCGATCTTTGCGATACGTGGATATTCTGACCCAACATGATATTGCCAAACACGACATCTGCTTGCTCAAAGGACTGAGAGAATGTACTAGTACCTGGGCACAGCTGTTGCCAGCCGATGCAAGCACCTTTCATTACCTCTCACAGACAGTTCTGCTCACGGTGGATTCCAGATGCGAACAGTCACTAAATCCTTGCTTCGCCAGCAGCGTTCATTCCAAAACCTGCGAAACCTTTTCGTGTATGGCCAAAAGTGGGAATCCCAATCTTCTGTATGTGGCTAGTAATCACAAACTCCATTGCTTGGACTTGAGAAGTTTGGGTAAAAAACTTGCTGATCGCGCCGTGGTCACCTGGACACATCAGATGACCTATCCACCCAATTTAATGGACACCTGCACGCACGAGGGCAGTGAATACATTGCATTAGGTGGAGTTCTGCCCAGTGATCAGCGTATTTGCGAGTTAAAAGGGTCTTCGGCTAAGGGAACGGAGGAAATGTTCTCGCCCGCAATGCCTTTTGCTCCGCCAACCTTGGAAGAAGCTTTAATTGATGCTCGGTTGCGAGGTTTCGTTGATATCTATGCTGATCTTCCAGAGCGAGTTAAGTACTGCATCACGGGTTTGCGCTTTAACCGATTGGAGAAGGCAAGTGACCAAGCTTTCGCCCAACTTCTCACCGCCAACAGCTTGGGCGACGTCTACTGTCAAAGATTAACGCTTAGGGACGAAGAGGAGCACGTCCAGGAGATCAGAACTGGACTCCACACCACTGAGGCCATACGATACTTTTCGAATCTTGTTCATGAGCGCGTTCAACGACAGAACCTGCCCTGCACGGAAGTTCAGTCAATACCCGAAGTGAGAGAAATATTTCGGGCGGGTGCCAAAAGATCGGAACGCGAGGAAAAACCCATTATCGTAGAAGAAATCGAAATAGACTACGGAATCGAAGACACTGAAGATTCGGATAATAAAAGCCAAAGCTCCCAAGAACAAGTAGCCACAAAGTCCAAAAGCAATGCTAAGAAGAAACCCAAAAAGAAGGTTAAGAAAAAAACGAAAACGAAACCAGAGCCCAAGAAAAAGACTCCGGCTAAAAAGAATTTCAAGAAAGACAGGGGCATAAATCGTGGACCCTGGCAAAAGTCCGCATACCAAATGTCTCACTACACGGACATGTTGTCTGTGCGTTTGCTGGAAATATGGGACATGGACGAATATGACTACACGCGAGATGTGGACAGGGAAATGTTCCAGGAGCGGTTAAATGAGAAGCAACTGGAGCCGGAGCAACGCATGGCGAAGTGGTTAGATGAACTGCCCAGCCAGCCAGTGGAATCTAGAGAGGACGAGCAGGCGGAGGGAAATCGCAACCTAGTCCCAGGAACTAATCTCCCCAAGTTGTACGATGCAGTCGCAGCGGAGTATTTGGAAGTTCCAGTCCCTGACAATAATGAAGATCCATTCATTAGTCCCAAAAAGGAACCGTTGGTCGGCTTTATGCAGCAGCATTCAATCCTCTTGCCTGGACAAAATACTATCATCGAGAGCGATCCCAACCCCAGGCCTGCTAAAAGACCCAAGACCAAACACGTCATGGGATTCTAGCTTAAGGTTAAACATACCCAGTTTAAATATATTTGTAATTTGATACTTGACTACACAATTTTGTATACTAATTTTCTGCTTAATTTAAGTTTTTTACCACATATGTACAGATACTTATTAAAATTCTCATTGTTCAAGAGTTAAACTAAAATTTATTCCTTGCCTGAAAGTCATATTGTATTTGCCACCTGAACTCCAGACATACCATGCCCAAAACCATCCTGCATATTCATAGTGTTAAGTTATACTCGCCATTTTCGATTGACGTCACGGCATGAGGATGTATCTCCACCCAAGTCGGGTTCATAAGCTGGATTCACGATTCCCACGATGGGCTCGACAACAAATCGGTTGTTTTTGTGTTTGAGGGCGTATCCTATGGATCGTTTTGCCATATTAGTTTTATCTTGGTCTCCTTGCAGCATTATACTATATAGTATTTTTGTTGTGATCACCACACGACCGATTTGAGAGTGTAACCGATATCGACTGATTTTCAATTAATTTGGGCAGTTTGCATTTAATTGATTCGATTTATCTATCGTCGGCGCTCAGTGGGGCGTAAAGCGAGCCAAGGGTGACACCTTTGTGGGAGTGCCCACAGATAGTATGCATAGTAAAACATGAGCCGAGTTCAGTGCATGACTGTACAAAATAAATAAATTCAAAGAAAATAATCAAATAAACATTTAGTACTAAACGCAAAATATAATGAGGATGAACCCCAAGTTCACGTGATTATCACAAACAAAAATAAAAAAGAACTTAAATCAAAAATCAAATAAGAATGCAACTCACACTTATTATTATTTAGTTTGCGGTCTTCGCTTAAACATGAAGGTTGAGATTCTTATAGCTCTAGTTTTTCTATTCTTTCTATTTATTGAAATAAAGGAAAGATCAGCCGTCTTGCTCTATAACAATTGTGGAAGCACAAAAGAATCAAATGGAGTCTTTTTTCGGATTTCTGGCGGTAGGAATACTACTATCTTGGAACATCCGTGGATGGTTCTCGTAATTGGAGAGCAGAATTGCGGCGGCACTGTTATCACATCACGTATGTATTTAAATAAAAACATATTTTGCTATTTCAAGGTTTTAAATTTTGCAGGCTACGTTTTGACGGCAGCGCACTGCATATTCGATTCTGATATGTGAGTATTCGAGATTTGTTTTTCAATTCATAATCTGTTATTTATTTTCGCAGGATGGTGCGCTTTGGACATGATAGAACTCCGAATTGCAGGTCTTCCAATAAGTGCACTCAAACGCCCTATCAAGTTGGTGTCGATCAGAAAATTGTTCACAGGAACTTTAACGATTATCAAAATGACATAGGTCTGCTTCGTATGGAAATTGAGGTGGAGTTCTCAGGTATTTTATGTGGTGCAAAAAAAAGGAGAACATCCGTTGATATAATGTTTCCTTCAGATTATGTTATGCCGATTTGCCTAGTCGTCAACGAGGAAATGGAACCCATTCAACAGTTCAGCGTCACTGGCTGGGGGAAAACTGAAGACGGTCATTTAAGTCGGGTCCTGAAGACAGCATCTCTGCATTATTTAAATCCTTCGATTTGCAGTGAGAAAATATGGGAGACATTAGACCAATCCCAGATCTGTGCCGGCAGTAACAGTAGTGACTCATGTGGGGGCGATTCGGGGGGCCCTTTGGACGCAAAGATCTATTATAATGGAAAATATTTGACTGCACAGTTCGGTATTGTCAGTTCTGGATTGCCAAATTGTGCCGGAATCGGGATTTACACAAATGTTACGCACTATATGGAGTGGATCGTTACAGCAGTACAATATTTTAAGAAGATGGGTTCAATGAATATCGCAACGTTATAATAAAAACAATTTCATCGCTTAATTCAATGTGTATATGAGAATATGTCAACTATATTTATAATCTACATTTATTTTATTACGGTAAAAAAAAGAATTACGAGTTGTGAAAGAAACATATCAAGATGTTTTATTTATTTTTGCCAGACGTGTGGATTTATTGATAACCTTTATATGTATTTATATTACTTCTTTGTTAATCAAAATCGAATAAAGTCCTAACCTTGGGGTCATTAAACTTATTTTTATATTTAAGTCAATTTCGAATGTTTTTTCAGAAGTATTGCTTGTCCAGTCTGGCAGTAAAGAGCAATGAAGAAAGTCGAAGCGAGCTTGTCGGTTCTATTTTGCCTTTTTCTCGGGATTAAAGATGGAAAGTCCTCCTTGCTGGATCCGTTTTGTGGATTTTCGCAGCCAAATGAGTTTGGTGGAAAAATTTTTGGAGGGCACAGTGTGGATATACGTTCGCAACCGTGGATGGTCAGAGTGGTCTCCGCGGTTAATACGTGTGGCGGCACACTCATCACCTCTCGTATGTATTTAAGATTACAAAAACATGTTTTATTATAGGTATTTTTAATTTGTTTTAGGTTTTGTTTTGACAGCAGCGCATTGCCTAACAGAGTTGGATATGTAAGTGTATGACATTTTATTTTTGATTGATATTTCCCTAATCCTCATGGCAGGTGGGTGCTGTTGGGCGAATTCGAAGTTCTGTACCCCAATCCGTTGTGGAGAATTGAAAAATTTGTCGATAAGAAAATTGCTTTTCCTTTGTACCCAAATGCAGATGAGCAGTATGACATAGCAATAGTTCGGATGAGAACAAGTGTGCCGTATTCGGGTAATTGAATGAAATGAACCAAAAACAATTACCTTTACTAAATATTTCGTTTTCGATTTTCCATTTAGACTATATCAGGCCAATCTGCCTTTTCGTCAATGAGGCAGTGCCAATCGTACAAAAATTTAACATTAGCGGCTGGGGTAGAACTGAAAATCAAAATATTAGCCGAACACTGCAGACCGCCATTGTAAATGATGTTGATCAAAGCCATTGCAGAAGTATTTACCGTAGAATTGTTGATCAATCCCAAATATGTGCCGGCAGTTACACCAGTGATGGGGATTCCGGTGGCCCGTTATCCGCAGAGATAAATTATGAAGGTCAATTCCGGACTTTTCAGTTTGGAATCGCCAGCTATGGATCTCCTAATTGTAATAGCTTTTCTGTTAACACTAGGGTGGAGTCATTTATTGGATGGATTCGTCAAGTTGTAGAACACTTCTCACATTAAAATAAAACGGCTTTAATAAACAATAAAACAGAAAAGAGTAATTTTTTTATGTCTTTTAATTATGTATATATCTATTTCTTGACTTGGTTTATAAATTTTTTAATTAATATTTTTTTATAGGCTCCTCCCACAAATAGCGCATGCGCCTTTAAAAAAGGGGGCGGCCTAAGGTTTTTGCAACATTGTATTCAAAATGTTGCTAGCAACATGCAGCCCCAGTGGACTCCTTTACGTATACTCCTTCAGTAAAATTTCAAATTTTGGTTGAGCAGGTTGTGCGTTCTGTGTGTTTCATATATTTTCGGTTTTTGGTTAACGTTTTTTCAAAAGGAAATTGAGCTCCGCCGAATATAATAAAATTTATTGAAAGTACATAGACCCTACCCATTTCCTGTAAGTGATACCTCTTAAGAACAAAAATTAAACTTTTAAAACTAATCAGTTAGTACGGAAGATATTTTTGTTTTTTTTTTAACAAAAAACTTAAAAAAAAAGGAAAAACAAGCACACAGTATGCGTTTGTATGTAAAAATAATCTTAACAGGGGTTTAAGTAATAACATCAACATAACAGAATTGAGAAAACATTATCTTTTCCCACTTGATCCACCGCTGTTCAACAGTAAAACGAGAAATTTGATTACGTGGACAAGTGCTCTCTCTCTCTTCATGTTCCCTACAAAAAAACGCCCCAAATCTCTCTCGCATTCACAGCTAAACGATCTTTTTTCTTTTAATCTCTTGTACTCTTTCACGTGTTGGGGGGAAAGGTACACCTGCCCCAGTTCCGTTGGAGGCTCTGTGCTCTCTCGCTCTTCCCAAGTATTAACTCTCTTTTATTATGTGGGTGCACTTAAAACAATGTAGATCACTTAATGTATAATATTATTTTGAACAAAAAAATAAAAATCGTAGAAAAAATGTTTTACTTATTTTTAATTCTTTTACAATTCGATTTTTAGACAAGCAAATTATAGGCAATATATGTGAATAAAACTAAGGTTGGATTTTTCGCAGTGTGATAGTCTCAAGTAGTAAAACAACGTCGGCGGCAGCAGTTCCAGCATTTCTCTGCCGCACTTCGATCGAAACGGAGGTACTTCCGCTCCTCTCGCCGTTTGCTCGCGTGTTTTTGTTGTTCGTCCATCGCATCCGCCCCCCGCCCGCCCTTTCGCCGAAATCAAGTGATATCCGTCTGTGGAAGACAAAAGGTATATTGCAAACAGCAGATCAAAAATCGTGTGTTTGGCTTAGCGTAAATGTCTAGAAAATGTGGTCATTAAGAAATGAAATTCGAGAAATCAAAAGAAAGCGTGTACTTTGCCATTGCTGTCGTGTCTCTTCCATTCATATTCAGTCCACGCACACACATACACACACTGGCCCCAAGAAAACTGTACGAAAGAGGAGGAGAAAGAGAGCTTATCGCTTCCAGTCCATAAAAATAAACACAAAAAAAATATTGCCGGGCGGTCTCTAACATTTGTTATTGTTGTCTTTCCACTAATCACGATCGGTTCAATAATTAGCATTTCTTATTCGGAAAAGAAGAAAAACTCCTGATGTGTCGCTTATGGCCAGATTTTCCGAAACATTTAGCGCCGGCCTGTGAATTGGAACTCTTACGGTACACTTCGTACCGTCAGTTCACTGAACCTTTCATAAAAGACATACAAACAATTTAAAACAAAAAACATACGTGTGTAAAAGAAGAAGCTGGATCGCCCCAACAGGTTTCAAGCCCAAAAAAAATTCAAAAAAAATTCAAAAAAAATTCGTTACAGTGAACCGATGATGTTCACCAATAGTGTTTAGAGTATAGATGGGAACAATATAAATATTTTCATTAAAAGAAAATTTTTGTACATATTCGAAAATGTTTCGGAAATTACATTTACAGAGTAAAATAAAAAAAACATTTCTCTTAACTATTAAAACAGAAGAGTTTGCTTTCAAGAGTGATCACTGTATAAAGAAAAAGAAGAAGAAAATAAGAGCAGTTGAAGAGGAAGATCAAAAGATGTTAATGTCGATTTCACGTAATTGAGGCTTGACCATTGCCTTTCCATTAGTGAAAGTTTTCAAGCTATATAAAGTCCAAACATATTTTATTTTTTGTATGCCTTTTTTAGTTAAGTTTTTTGCGGCTATTTGAAATTTTTTTCTTTTGTCTTTTTATTTGGGTGACCTAGGCGCTTTCAAAACTTTCATTTAACCAGAAACACCCACAAACATCCCATTGGAATTAACCACGACGGACATTATGCATACGCCACCATGTACGCGCAATAATTTCGTTTTGGCTTTGGTTTTTGGCTTGCATAATCCCCTCCAGCTGGTCGAGATGGTCAAAGCTGGTTGGTCGAAATCGGCTCCCGACTCTGCCATGAATTGCACATTTGCATAATGACTAATTTTTGCCGCTCGCGCATCCCATTCGCAATCGCTGCTTGCCCCTCTTCAACCATTCAATTTCAATTTCAACTTTACACTGTTGAGCAAAAATATGTTACACCTTTCCGGGTAATTGGTTCAAATTCAACATTTAGCGCTTGTGCAACCATTATATGATTATTAAGGCAAAGATGATGGCCAGCAGATGATAGTGATAGTGTATAAAAGTGGTGAACATCAATCCCAGGCAGACATTGGTGCTTTGGCTTAGTTCGAAAGTAGTTACTGGGTATCGAAATTTGTAGTTTGCAGGAAAATAAACATCCGTTTTTTGTGTTTCTTTGGACATCAAGGTTTCAAGATAAGGTTTGAAATTTTTTTTTTAAATTTTAATGTGTTTAATTTCGTATAACTTGGATATTAACTTGAATGGGCTTTTCCAAATGATGAGCCTAGTTTAATTTTGGCAACATTTCGGCAATGTTTCTTATCAAACAGTTTCTTATCTGCTTGATAAATCATCGTGATATATGCTTGTTAAAACAATGATAGTTATATATATCTAATATCATAACGCGACTGTCTTAATAATAATGATTGATTTGCACAATGCTAATTAAAATATTTGAGGCAGAAAAAAAAATTTTTGTTCATGCTTCTTCTCACTTTAATTACAGTTTTATTGCTATTATTATTAACTCGAAGCAGGCAACACAATTAATTTATTATTACTCCTTGCAGTGGAGTGTAGAAACACGTTCTTCCTCTGCGAAAGTCGTAATACTTTTTGGTAATCAAGTTTCATTTATCTTGCAGCCATGTTGAAATCCATTCTCGTTTTGTCGTGCCTTCTGGTGGTGGCCACCAGCAACAGCCTCGTCAACGCCGAGGATCTGAAAGTGGAGGTGATCAGCACCCCGGAGGTTTGTGATCAAAAGTCGAAGGCCGGCGACTCCCTCACGATGCACTACACTGGAACACTGGCGGCCGATGGCAAGAAGTTCGATTCGAGGTGAGTTGTTTATTTCTGAAATAGCGTTTAAAATAGACCCTGGCGATTGTAGGAGAAACTCATCGCTTTAAATATACCAAAACATATGACATTTTTAAAGAGTAATACGGATACTAATAGTAACTCATCTTGACTTATTATAAACCAATTTTTAAAATCTTGCTTCTCAAACGTAATTAGTATTTGTATTTACCCCAAATTTTGTGTGTAATGTCAGAGTTCAGAATGACTTATATTTTTAAAGCTGATTTTGGCTGTAATCTCCGCACGCACACACACTCGCCTCCTCCATTGGAGATTAACATACTCGCAGATACATGTGTTTCCCGTATGGGATTAAAGCTGCTGGTGCTGCATAGTCGGTCTGTCGTCACGGCGGCTCATTGCCGTAAATTAGACGCCAACTGATAAGCGATCTCATTGTTGCATTGTCGCTGCTGCTGCTGCTGCTGCTGTTGTTGTTGCTGTTGCTTTTTTTATTGTCCAGTCGCTGCAGCCTCTGGTGCATTTTCCATGCCTGAACGCCGGCTCTTCCTCTTTTAAACCCCATCTCAATCTCAATTTTCTCGCTTTTTGTTTCGTTTTCTGTTGGTTATGGGCGTGCATATGACGTGGCCCTCAACTTTTGGCTTCATTAAGCAAAGAAATCATTTTTCCGGTGCAAAAGCTAGGAAAAAGTAAGGTGAAGCAATCCAAATGATTTTTAAATACCTAATATTTATTAATTGTTTAGCAAAAGGCTTGCCAAGAAGAAACCCTGGGATGTTCTCTAAAATTTGGTCTTCAATTAAAACCTTTAGCCAAGCTGCAATAAATCGTGTTAATTTAAGCAACGAAATTTGAAAACCGAAAAACCAATTAAAGGAAAAGAAGTATTAAGTTACCTCACATGTGGGAAAAATGAGCTCCCCAAAGTCGTTCGATTTCCACCACCGAAAAAAGAATCTCTTCAATGCGTGTAATCGTTTGGCAAGCGCTAAAATTCATTATCAGCAATTTTATTAATATCAACTAAGAACAAAACTTGTTGATAAGCGACAGAAACTAGATTAACTAAACTGATATATAGACCTATTGGGGCATATAAATAAACCGTTTTTGGAACAATATGTGGATGGGGTATCAGTCCATCTCATTTTGTTACCTGAGTGAAAGCACTCATGAAATTTTGATTTAATTTTATGACCAGAAAATTGCATCTCTTGTGAAGGGAAATGATTTTATAATCGTCTGACTGACCCACCGGTTAACCCGTTTTACCATATGCTAAAATGGGAAATGGCAAACATTTCATTTTCCCATCCATCATTGGACATCTCTGTGAAGATAAATTGTGTCCTTTTACTTGTGGGCCTCACCTTGAGTTTTGGTAGACAATTTTTGGTTGCACACGGAGTGGCAAATTATCTGGAAGTTGTATTGCCCCCCTTTGCTTACTCCTTTTTCACCTTTTGCCAGGGCTTAAAAGTTTTGCAATTGCTGTTAAATTTAGCGTGGCAAAGTCGAAGTCTGGCAGTAGAGAGTGAGAGAGCTGGCCAACTAACTAACTCAATCAGAGTGCGTCCTCTCAGCCATTTTCTCTTTGGCTTGCCACCTGTTGCTGCGGCTTAAATGCCCTCGAACTTGGCTAACAAACAAGGCACTTTGTGCCAGTCAAGTGCAGTCAAGGATGCCGACAGCCACCTCCTCCGCCTTCTACTTACCCTTTTTATTTTCGTTATGCTAAAAATCTCTTTCAGCCATTTCTTGCCTCGAGCTGCGAACGGCTTCTCCTGCCATTTTGGGTTTTAGGTCTCCTTGCAGCGGAAATTAGCTGCCTGAAAGCTGGCTACACCTTCTTTTTACCCCTGGGATAATTAAGCTTTTGCCTGCTGAAGAGCACCTTCAAAAAAAAAGGATGCTTTTCCAGAGAGATAAATATGAAGAAGGCTCCTGCATTTGACAGGTTTGTCAATTGATTTTCTTGCTGGAATGACAATCTAAATGAAAACTGTCCTAAGCACACAAGCATAAGGAAACAGAGAATAGGTTTACGTGCTTAATTGATATTAAAAAGGATTACAACCTACTTGGGTGACCATAAAAGACATTTTACATTTCGGACAATTACAAATTTCCCCCTTCCTTGCCTTTTATTTTTATAACTAATTCAATAATGAGCAGGACGAGAGCTGGAGTCCTGTCACGTGCCTGCTGCCTTTTATTTTCATTGTCTCCTCGAAAAGGACCAAATAGAAAAACCGGAGGCTGTGGAGCCGAGGAGTCCATCAAGTCTACCTGTCATAGCCATGGCCAAGTCACGTGCAACCACAGTTTGTCAATGACTTTGGCCACCACCCCGACTCCCCATTTCCCCAGCTCCCCCATCTTCATTAGACTTTGGCGGCGTCTCTTGTTTTCGCTGGCAACAAGTTGAGCTCCACTTTTGACCCGCAGACCTTCTTTTGGCCGCATAAATTATTTAGTCTCTCGCCGCTATATTCTAATCAGCCTGACGCGTAACATGAATACGAGTACACTACTGCCGGCAGCATCTCCCTTTCACCTTTTATGATATATAGTATATGGTTCCCCCCTCAAGTTTTTCATGTGCAACGTGGCCCTTTCGGGCTGTGTCACTCTTCTGGGGAAATTAATTTGTTACTTGAGTTCCAAGCAGCCAACATTGTGACTTTTCCGCTTAAAGTTTTGCCAAAACATTGCGGAAGATACTCAAGAAAATGTGGAAAATTCAGCAGAAAATAATAAATTCAGTTTTAAGTCGAATGCTTGTAAAATAAATTGTTTATTTTAAATATTCCCATTAAACTAAATTCCCCTTCAAGAAATAATACTGTAATTATTTGTTGAATTTCTTAGATAGTTGATAAATGGTAAAAAAGTGTCTTTCAAATTAAATTCGTTTAACATAATTAATCAAAGAATTTAAAAAGTACCCATATATAGTGTTTCGGGCCAATTCACACCTTTATGTGACATTTTTGATTAACATGCAAATAGTGGAATATTTTGAAGAGGTGAAAGTTTATCCATCTCGAAAATAAAACCACAAAAGGCAAGGACTGGAGGTACAATGGAAATTTGTTAATTGATTTATTAATACCATTTCGGTGAATAGATCTTCAAAGAAATAGTTTGGGTATTTCTTTTGGAACTTTCTTGGAGACAATCTCGCTCAGTGCAACTTGTAGTTTAAATATGAAAAGAGGAGCTGCTCTTTTGTTGGCATCCTCAAAAACATGTTTCACAAATTTTTGACAACGTAACGCTGGAGTAACCAGAAAGTGGGAAATGGAGAGGAGCAGAAGTCAGTTACCTGAAGCATCGGGCCATAACTTGCGATGTTGTCGCTTTCTGGCTGCCATGATTTGTATGTTTCAAGTACAAACTCCGCCGTCATTCCCCCTTTTCTTGCTTTTTTTTCTGTTTTGTCGCCCATCTACTAACCAATTCTCCCCCCTTTGTCACCTCTTTTGCAGCAAGTGCAATTTAATGTCCAAAAGCAAAGTGCGTGAAAAAAACAGCAGCAGCAACCAGAAATGCATCAAAGTGAAAGTTTTAGCTCACTCCGGACAACCTTGAATGGGGTGATAGAGTGGGAGGGGAGTGGGAAAGGAGTGGGAAAGAGACCTTAAGCTCTGCTTGAATGACCACAAAAACCTTGACACCATTGGTGGCAAAACACTTGTAAAGTGCAACAAAGTACTGCCACTGAAGATGGCCACTAAATCTAAAGCTCATTACCATGTGGAAGCAATCAAATGCTGCTGTTTCTGCAACTGCAACAAACGTCTGACTTTTATGGCAACTTTCTGCCTCTTGCCTCGGAATATATATTCGCCTTGGTCTGCGTCAGACACATTTGTAGATAGTTTAAATAATTAATGAGCTTCAACGGTTGCAATTTTTATTTTTTCCTGAATTTACAGCAGCTTTTTTTCCGGGGGTTGTGTTAAGGGCGCACGAACGTGATGCCGCCAGCTGGGGCATAAATTTGGGAGTCCCGTGCGGCACTTGTTCCGTCACTGCGAAAAATATTTAAAGCTCATAAATAATGATTTCAAAATCAGAAATACAACCTTTAATTTTATGGCAGTTTAAATGATTTTTTGTTTGAAATGGAAACTTCAACTTTTGTGAGCCTTTTACTTAATTGTTACTTGTTTATTTTAGAACAGAAAAAAAATTATAAAAAACAACGCTCAATCGAAAGACTTAAATATTTAACATCTTTTGTATTTTTTTATATAATGCTTTTCATCAATTTTTTCTGAAAATTTTCCCAAACTTTAAATTCAAATCAATAAGTTCAACGTAGATTTTTTCCCCCAGTGTCTGGGTGCAAAGTTGTTCAAACTTTAGACTTTTTGTGTGAATTGTTCGCACGTTGACCATTCCCGCAGAGAGAAATCCATGGCCAGAGGTCCTGCCGGAGTCCTTGTCCTTGGTGCACGTTAATCGCAACTTGTCGCCCCAAAGGGGAGGCCTCCAAACAGCGAGTAAGGTAACGGAATTGCGGTTGCATATTTGATTTTATAACTTTCCTTGGCCGGACACATAAAACGAGGTCATCAAGCGGCAGCCGCCCAAAAGGATTCAATTTGATTGGATTGAATGTGTCTGAAGTCGTCGGAGTGACGTGGTATGATTTCCACCCAAAAACCCCTGAACCCCTGAAAACCCGTCCACAAAATACCGCCCGTGGTGCGGAATCACGTAGAACGATGGCAAACGGATGTTTGGGCGCCCATTGAGCTGCATTTTAAATTAGGCGATGCGTTGGGACTCCGTTCGCAATTCGCAGATACAGATACAGATACAGATACCAACACGGATTCGAATTGGGATTGGAATACAAGGCGGGGGCAAGAATGAAATCGAAACTTATTAAATATTTAGCAACTGGATGAATGAGTTTACATTTTTGGCTTGACTTTATGATAATGTGCTGGCCATAAAATCCCTCCCAAAAAGAAAAAATTACACATATGCCTTCTCCGTTGAACCCCTTTGAACCACAATCTAAACTTCACAGAGACGAATTGGAAAAACCCGCGAATCGCTTGCAAAATATCCACGAATTTCTGTTTGCCTTTTGCCAATTGCGTAACAACAACTGCAATTGCAACTTGTTTGTCCACCTGCGAGTGAATTCAGGTCTGATCTCTCAGCTGACCTTTTGTTTGTTTTGCCCGGTAATTCATAAATATTTGATTGCTTCGGGGGACAAACAGGACGAAGAACACGGAAGTCCGAACGGGCGGGTCGGTCAACTCTGCCGACTGAAACAATCAACACATTTAAACGATTTTATTCATTTATTTACGACTCGACAGCTCCGTTTTTAAACGGTTTCCATTAAAGCTTTTCACTTGTAATAAGGGTTAAATTAAGCGCAACGGCTGAAATAAATGTTTTCATGCATAAAATTTGGAAGAGCTAATTAATAATACGCTAAAGAAGATTATCAGATTTTGGAATAATTATTTCTGAATTAGGCAAAGGCATATTTTAATTTAGATTAGCAGAAAATGGTTTATAAATATTTCTTCAAACTAAAAGAGTTTGGACAATTTTTAGCCCTTTTCCTGAGGTTTTCTTTTAAACTTTTCTCTTATATCGAAAATGCTGACTCCAAATGAAACTCCAATATTGATCAGTAAGAAAAAACAAAGTCACACATTCTGGTTTTGTTTTAAGCCTCAAAAATCCCATAAATTAGCGGGGCTTCAGGAGTAAGCACTTCAGGGATAAGCGCTTCCCCTCAGAATGGATAGAATAAGCCTGCAAACAAAACAGGACTTCTCATAAAATGTTTCACATATTACTAGAAATTCATGGAAAATAATGCAATAAAAATTCACAGCCACAGACAGCGACACCGAAATAAAGACAGGCCGCCGAGGTGTCTTAGATGCCGCGTAATCCCTGAAAAAAAAAAACCAAACCAAACCGAAACACACACTCACAGGACACCCAAGGATTCCAAGGGGGAGGGATACAAATTTTTTACGCTTTTTTATTTCATCAGGAGATTTGCACTTGAGCGAAAGCCGGCGACAAAAAACAGCGACGACGACGACACTTTGGTTACGCTCCAGAGTCACACTTAACCGCCGAGCATGTGTGTTTGTTACCATTTTCTCTTCGTTTTTCTTTTTTTTTTTTTTTTTTTTTGGGCCCGCTTGGGTGGATTATTCAGCGCAATCCGCATGCCACTTGGTGCCGCATTTTCACTTTCCACTTGCCCCATCATCGTTGCGACTTGAACTCGAATTTGAAACAACAGCCGGAGAGGAGCATGTAAAAATGTTTGCAAAATGCCCAGGAGATGCACATAAAATATTTAACAGACAAGCTCTAGAACTTTCCCCCAGCCACGTGGGTGACTCCTGGTTAATCATTTGTTTCCTTTTCCCAGCCTCAAGTGCAATAATCTGTTTCGGTTGCCTCCACCCTCAAGACATTTAAGCGGGTATCCCCGAAAAGTTAAAGAAAACATTTCCCCGTACCACTTAAATACAGGCAAACGACTTTCTTAACAAACAACAATAATAATATAATGATGAACAACAGGAAAGTTGTCGAAAAATGTAAAAGAAAGAAAGAAACTTTCCCTGCAGTCGGAAAACCCAAGCGACACATTTCAATTGCCAAGTTCAGATCTCTGGAGGGTTCAAAAAGTTGCCGAAAATTTCAATGGCCTTTAAGTGCTTAAAAAATTTAAATAAGGTTTAAGATTCAAGAGGATTATTAAAACTGAAAGAGATTAAAGTAAAGCTCGTTGATTGCGCTAATTAAATCTTAGAACAAACAAAGTCCATAACTTTTATAATTTCAATCCGATTTTGAAGTGGGAAATCTCTAATGTTTCTATTTCAATTCTCTAACCAACTGCATCATTAGTTATTTTTTTATTTTTTGGCCAATTTTTTTTATAATTTTTATAAAACAACCCCTTTCCGAATTTCCAACAAATGGGTTTGCTGAAAGTGACCAAGATTTTGAAGTGACATGCCTCTAAAAAAATGTTGTTTCATTGATTTTATATAAAAAAAAAATAATAATAACAAATGACTGCAAGGGGATATAAGCTTTGGCATTCCAAATCTAGCTTCCTTTTTGGTTTTTTATATAATTTTGTCCCCTTGAAGTCATTAAATTTACGCTTACCATTTAAAACTGGAGTAAAGCTCACAAGAACACTGGCCTACAAAAGGCATTTTACAACGTGTTTATGGCTCTATTTGCCACCTTATTTGCACCCTTGAGCTACTGCGAATCCATTTCTATATATCATAATCATCATCAAATGGGCTGCAACTGTGCCACATCATACATCAAGCTCAAGAGCGCGACATTCTCATGCATACCTGAGCAGCTCCCTTCTCCCTGCTCCCTGCTCCCTGCTTTTTGTTTATCCCCCAGTTTTACGCTTAACAAATTAAAGTAAATTCGCTTAGCGCGGCCATCAAATAAATAATTTTTATAGACTGCCAGCAAAAAAAAAAGAGAAAGAGAAGAGTCGTAAAGATATGATGAATTGTTTTGGTTTTAAAGGGTGGGGCCTTTTCCCTCGACACCTGTAAGCACTTGAAACTTTGCGGCTAACAAGCGTCTAACAATTTGTATCTCCATTTTTTTTTTTTTTTCATTTTTTGCAGCTTCGACCGCGACCAGCCCTTCACATTCCAATTGGGAGCCGGCCAGGTGATTAAGGGTTGGGATCAGGGTCTGCTCAACATGTGCGTGGGTAAGTACTAAAAACCCGATTCTGGAAAAGAGTTTAAATTAAAATGAATTTCTTCGTGAAATGATTTTAGGTGAGAAGCGCAAGCTGACCATTCCTCCCCAGTTGGGTTATGGTGATCAGGGTGCCGGCAATGTGATCCCGCCCAAGGCCACTCTTCTTTTCGATGTGGAGCTGATCAACATCGGAAATGCCCCGCCCACAACCAACGTGTTCAAGGAGATCGACGATAATGCCGACAAGCAGCTGAGTCGCGAAGAGGTAATCGTCTATGTATGGATCGCACTTTTTTTTATATATATTCTCTTCACTGAAATATCCGTTGGATGTGGGATAAGTAACTAACCCCTAACCTGAAAAATATGATCCTTCTTTCCTCTAAAACAGAAGATATCTCTTATATATTTTAAACCAAGTTAACTAACTCCAATTTTTTTATTTTTCCCCACAGGTCAGCGAGTATCTGAAGAAGCAGATGACCGCCGTCGAGGGCCAGGACTCCGATGAGCTGAAGAACATGCTCGCCGAGAACGACAAGCTGGTGGAGGAGATCTTCCAGCACGAGGATAAGGACAAGAACGGCTTCATCTCCCACGAGGAGTTCTCCGGCCCCAAACACGACGAGCTGTAGAGTTCGCCATTTTGGGGGTTTTTGTGGAAGGGACAAGAGTGCTTAAGTTATATAAAACCCAGATATATACATACACAGATCTTAACAATATCAAACAGACGAGGCCGAAGCCGAGCAATAAATCGAGTGAACCACTGATGCTTCCCGATGTCATTTTGTATATAGCATACATATCAGCATCTAAACATCAAAAAAACATTCAAGGAGTGCATTATTATTTCGAGACGTAGTTTAAATTATGTACAATCTGAGAGGGAATGAACATCATTTTTATATACATTTATAGGTTGTTATATACTTTGTGTCGTCTGCGGGTGGTGACGATTTTTTAGACCCGTCGTACAGATAATGTTCGTATCGTATTTTGTAAACCAGACACACACTCAAGACAAAGTCAATTGGAACACTTTAAATTGAATAAAGAATTGCTACCAATAATTTAACAACAACCCAAGCATTGTTTTACTTATATTACCACAGAAATAAACAGCGATTTGATCAACAGTTTTTATATAGTTTGTTATTCATATATACTCGAGTGGTAAATGTGTAAAGCATATTAAAGAACATCACATACAAATATATATATATATTTAGGTTGCTTAGATACTTTTTACTTTCAATGAAAACTCAAAACAAATAAAATTCAAGAATAATATAACATTTGAAATGAAAAGGGATAAGAATCTTATAAAGGTAGAGACAAAAACCAATCGATGAGCTACTTAAATATATACACAGTTAACTGAGCCATCCAACAATACGACTAAACTTCCTCCTCCTCCTTTTCCGCCCCATGGGCTCGTGTAGTTATTGTAAGCTTTGTTCGCGTCGAGCTTGGAGTTTAGAGAAAGATCCTTCTGGACATCGAAAGCCAGCAGGAGAATTGCACTACGAGGGACTAAAGTCAGGCGTTCAGTATGTAGAAGACCAGCTCGAGAACGATGGGCTCCTGAATGCCAGAGGATTCGCCATGAAGCGTGGCTATCAGATGGTTATCCAGGGCGTTCATGTACAGCGGCGGCAGCTTTGAGCCTCGCGCACCGGCTTCATAACCAACCTAAAAGTAAAGTAATACATTAAACAATTGTAAAGGATTTTAAGGTGTTTGATATATACATTCTCCTGGTCGAGAGTGGCTCGTAGGCCAAGTTTGTTAATGCCAGCTGCCGCTAAAAGATCAAGGAATGGCAGCAGGGCCATCGAGGCGCTGCGAGCCAGTTGCTCGGCAATTCGAGTTATGTCCGCATAATTTCCACCATTTGTGGCATACCAGTCTTCGCACTGTTAAGCAAAATAACAAAAAGGTGTGAATTAGCATTTAGAAAAATCAAAAATCAATAGGTTTCACCTTGACAATGTATATATCACTCAAACGGATTGCATAATTAGCATTGGAATAGTTGAAGGTGGCATGAACTCGCATGTTGGATATGCCATCCATGGGTTGGTCATCAATGGGGGATTTAACGCTATCAAATATATAAAGTCATAATTTATATAAATTAATTCTTCCATCCAAACTTACCCCACATTGATATCCCGATTATTGTCCACCCACTTAATGCTGACAATCTCACTTTGATCGTCGGTGGCGTCGATGGGTCCGCAGACGATATCGATGTCATTTTGATTGCGCAGAGCCTGACGCACCTCCTCCATTTTGGCGGGCATTATCTGCACCATCAGGCCATCCTCCACGATGCTGCACTTGCCCGACAAACCACTGCTGCTCTTCAGAGCTTCATTCAGCACAAAGAAACTAGCTCCTGTGATTTTCCGTGGTTGCCCCTGAATGTTGATGGCCTGCGTGGAGTAGGAGTACATCTCGGATCGATCATCGTTGATGTTCTGCATGCACACCAGATGTCCATCGGCCACTTTGGAGAAGTTGCCAGCAAAGGCGAGAATATGATCGCTGGCATTGTTGATTGCCTTGATTACGTCCTGCTGGCGATACTTTGGAATTATCACCGTGGTCTGCCTATCCTCCATGTGGATGTATAATCCCCGGATGGCCGGTAGAGAGTACGAGTAGTTGCGGAAATCCACCAGGAAATTGATGATGGTTTGAGCTATTTCTCCATACACCGACTCCCTGCCACGCACCGAGATCAATGGACAAGGATAGTAGCGATATTGGGCGCCCAAACGGAGGATTAATCGCAAGGGCAAAACCTTGGCCCAGGGCACTTCGTGTCGATGGATAAGCACCCCAACCAGATAGGGATTATCTGGCACAATCACACCCTGCAGGCACTGGTACGTTGGCCGGATGAAAATGAATCCTCCATGCTCCCGGGAACCCAGGAAATTGGCGTTGCGCGGACTGGTGAAAGCCAATTCGTGAGTGCTCGACCTTGCATGCTCCGCCTCCACATAGATTTCGTAAAGATGCTGGAAAACATCCTTCGGGATGGCGACTTCCCCACTCACAGATTCTCCCTGCTTGGGTTCCTTGATCTCCAGCAGAATAATCAACTCATCGCTGCCCATGTGATGAAGTCCGGATGTGGTGAAGTTAAGCACCCAGCGATTCATGCAGCAGCTCACTGGGGATTACAAATATACATTTAAAAGTATTCAAATTAAATAACTATTAGTAAATACTGACTGTTAACAATTTTGACCAGCACAAAGAAGTTATTCTTGATGATAAACTTGAGCGTTTCGTTCTGCAATCGCTCGAGGAGCGCTGCATCGTTGCGCATCACCTTGTAGTCCACCTCGCCGCCTTCTTTGCTGGCAACGCAAATGGGGGGCAGGCCGTTCTCCTCGGCGGGCAGATAGCAACCTTGGGCGTCTGCGTTCGGCGGGAGTTTGCGATTGCGCGCCGGTTCCGCTTTGCGACGCGGCGAGGTCTGAGCCGCGGTTTGGGATGATGAGCGACCAGCTGGGGGATGGGAAAATATATTAAATCACATGTAACCAAATAGGAACTGAGCTAAGTCCTACCGCTTGGTGCTTCAGTGGCCGATAAAGTGGCAGCCGCTGCACTTGGAGGAATGGAACCGCGAAAGAGTTGAGCCACCAAACCCAACGTTGAACTGGTATCGATGCTGCGTGGTGGCTCCTCTGTGGCAGGCGTGGGTGGCTTCTGACCAGCACCGGAACCGCTCCTGGAGAGTCCCCTCCTCGCCTGCTTCGCCTCGCCCCACTGCTGCTCCATGGTGCTGGCCAGTTCGCTGCCCGGTGCAATGCCATCGCTGAACATGACACTCTTCCGCTTCCTGGCGCCCTTCTTGCCATCCGAACTCGAGGAGTTCGAGGAGCTGCCATCGTTCTTTTTTAGGACACCCACGGGCACAATTACGCTGGGCGGCGGAGCTCCTGGCGAGGAGGCCACCTGACGATGTGGCGGTATTGTGGAGCAGTACTCCATCGGATTGTTGGGATTCGGCGAACGCATCGGAGTGGGCGGCAAAACGGAACCCGGAGCAGATTCGGAACTGGAGCCATTGGCCTGTCGCTCGGTGAGGATCATGTAACACTGCACGCAAACACGCGACTCCGGTTCGTTGGCGAACTCCAGGTGGAAACGCTGCGAGCAGCAAACGGAGCACAGAACCTTTCCGCAGGCGCGACAATGGTGGCGTCTCTTGATCATGGTGAACTTCTGCTGGCACTGCATGCACTGACCGGCCATGTTGTCCGGCACCCAAATGGGCGGCACCTTGCCCAGATTGGCATGCGGATCGCTGTATCCCACTGCCTCGTAAATGGGACTCTCCTCCTCATCCTCACCAGAAATTACACTTGCTCCAGCTGCTCCTTCATTACCTTCAGCAGGCTGCGTTTCTCCCTGCTGGATTTCAGGGGTTTCATCTTGGGATGGAGTGGAATTTCCCGCCTGGCAACCATTCAAATCCAGAGTTTGGGGACGCTGCGGACGCTGCTCTTGGGTTTCCAGTGCATCGGTGGCCAGACTGGCATCCTCCTGCTCTCTTTCTGCCCTCTGTTCCTCCTCGCCATCCAGCTTTCTGCCCGATAGCGAATCCGACTCCGTGCTGCTGAAACTGGAGGCTATATCCTCGCCCATTGCGGTGACCGGAATTGCGGTTTCCTGCGGCTTCAGATCGGCAAACTCAACGGTGGACGCCTGCGAGAAGTTGTCCACGTTCATCTGGTCATTGGAGGTCGTCTCCTGTTCGTCGGATAGAATCCGCACGGACTCCTCTTCGGTCACTGGTGAAGCTGAGGGGGATTTCTCATCCTCGGGCATTTCCTGATCCACCTCCTGGTTCTCATCCGCGTCCATTTCCTGCAGCATGCTGTCCAGCTCTGTGTCGGAGATCTCGTCCATGGTGGAGCAGAAGGTGAGCGGTTGACTGCGTCTGGGGTGCTCCTGTGGCACCTCCACTTCCTCCTCCTCGGTTTGTGCCTGCTGTTCCTTCTCCTCTGCGGGAGGTTCTTCTGGAACAGGTGCTTTCTGAAAGGCAGAGCAAAAAGTTATATGTTGTTTATATTTTAAATTGATTCCATGGTTCATTTTTAAAAATTTTTTAATCTACATGGGATTAATGGTAGAAAAAGAATAAACTTATTATTTGGATAGCAAAAAATTGTGAGTAATTGGTAAATGTTCAATGTTTAGAATTAAAAGAAATAGATCTTATTAATAATTAAGTTCATATTGGATCATGATTCGAAATAACAAACATAATATTGTTTATTTTGGAAAGCTTTTGTTTTAAACGTATTACTCACTTCAAGAGCTACCGGAATCTCAATGCCATTGGTCATCTCGGTTTCCGGTTCCCTGCTCTGCGACGATTCCTCCGAGAGGTCCTGCAGGACCTGCCTTAAAACCGAGGATGCAGTGACCTCCTCTGGCAGCAAGGATTGCGATTCTGTGACGGATGCTGTGATGGAGATGGAGGACAGACCCACGGCCAGCTCCTCCACATTTTGCTTAGGTAGATCCGGCTCGGTATCAGCCACCTGATCCTGATTATGATCATTATTATCAACTTCTTCCTTGGGTTGCTCTTCTTCCTTTGGCATCACTTGAACCTCACTTGGCCGATCGCTTTCGGGGGGCGTGGTCAGCTCCTCCGAGTGACTGCCATTGCTGACGGGCGAAGGACCCGACGAGAAAGTGGAGCAGGACGAAGTGGTCAGGGATTCGGAGGAGGATACGATCGCTTGTCCGTTGTTTTTCGACGTCCGTTCGCTGAACTTGTGGATGTCGTCCTCGTGTTCGGCCTCCGTTTGCCAATCGTAGCTGGGCAATTGGGCATCCACCTCCAAGGACTTCACGTTCTCCCTATAGTCATCCAGGCTATTGAAAACCTGGGAGACGCCCACGAAAGTTTTCGATGCCGTGGCGCCCAGGGATGATGGTGTCGCACTCGCAGATCCGGATCCTCCAGCTGCCGCTCCATGACTGGATGCACTGGCTCCATCGCCCAGAAAGCGACCAGGATTCACGGAGATCGCCGCTGCAGCTGCATTTCTGGTCAGCTGCTCGTCGGCCGCAATGCGCAGTTCCAGATTATCCAAAACCTGATCAATGTCCACCAAATCCATGGCCACCAAATCAGCAGAAACCCTAAAATAAAGCCCAAAAACCAGAATTAATTCGCTGAATTTTCACAAAACGCAAAAGAAAAGCTACACAAAAAAAACACAAAAAAAAAGAAATCTCGTGATTCATACGTAGTTCACATCTTAAATAAATCAATAACCAGACAAAGTAAGTGAAATCCAGTCTACTTTGAATACGCTTTCTTAATAACCTGTAATTACCTTATTTACTTTGTTTTTCTGGCTAATTTATTAACAAAAACCCCGAGACAAAAAACATTGTAAAACTGAATTGACTAAAAATTACCGCAGGAATAGTGCTGGAAAGGCGTGAAAAGTAAATTTTAGTATTTTCAGAGCCCTCTCTCTGCCACTGTTAACGGATAAAGAACTGTTGGTAAGGCGCCACTGGACATATACGGCAGAATATGGAAACTTCAATATTGTGGATAAGCATAATGGGGAACATATATTTACTATGTTAGAGAGAAATTTGTTTAGTAATTTTTTAATTAATTTGCAATTCTTAAGCCTAGATTTTAAGATAGAAACCTCCCAACAGAAATGTTAAATTCACCTAACAGAGTGAGAGCGCAGTTGGTGTGACCACATTTGCGCACAAAAATATACCATGAAAACTAAAATATACTATCGAGTTACATCGACTACCAAGTCCTATATCGATACTTATATATACATCATTATTTCCAGCTCTACGGAAAATCATTCGAAAAATTTTAACGAAACGGAGTAGGCACGGGTACGTCCGGATTTAGCGCGATTTCGTGTGTGTTTTGTCGCCACTCGAGTGTAAAGAAATTTCAACACCGCGAAATAGAGTCGCGAGTGCGGTTTTTGTAAATACAAATAAGAAAAGGTGCGCAAAGTAGTAAAAATAAATGTAACGAAAATAAACGCAGCAAAACAACGGGCAGAAAGATACGAAAAAGAAGAAGCAGGCGAAGCAGAAGAGAAAAAGACACATAAAGAAGCCGCCATAGCGGCGTGAGTGGGAAAGAGAGGGGAGAGGAGACAGAGAGCGAATAGTGTGGTTGTAGTGGTGGGCGGTTGTTTTTTTTCGTTGAAAAATCGCAGGATTTTAAGGGATAAATACAAAAATAACAAACAAAAGCCAGAACGATATTGTGTACTCAAAAATCATGTTTTTGTAAATTTGGTAATAAAATGCAAATAATCGTACTGAAAATTAAACTCCCACACACACACCTGCTCACACAGTAGTTGCGCTCTTGTCTTGTCTATTTTTTGTGTTATTCTCTCTGCGTAAACGTTTTGTTTATTACCCCGCTCTTCTATTTCCTTTCTTTGATTTTAGCCGCGCGCGCATACGATAAATTGTTGTTAATTTTACAGTGTGTAATGCTTAATTAATTCCCTGCCTCTATCTCTCTATCTCTTTTGCTTTGAAATTTAGTTGATAACGCATCGGAAATAGTGTCTGGCCATTAAATCATCATATTAATTCCACATGTGCATTTAAACAGAATTTTTCTAGTGTCAAACCTGTTTGAAAAGTTCGAAAATATATATAGATTGTATATATATAAAAATATATATGGAAAGTGCTGCCGCAAGTTCTAAAATTTAAGTCAATAAACAAACTGGAAGTTATTAGCTGAAACCACAACCTCAACGACCGAAGAAATCAACGGGGAAAATGAAGCCAAAGCAGAAGATTTCCGTAGAGCCGCTTTTGCTCGTCGCCCTGCTCCTCGGAATTCTGGTGGCCGCCACCCACGCTCAAGATCAGGTAAAGCCAACGGAAACTTATGTATACACCTTAAAGCTCAGTATGTTGAAAAAATTCAAATTTAACACATTACACTAACTAAATCTATGAGGTTTGTTTTCGTTAAAAGATATATCTAGATAGCCGAATTTCTGGTGTTTAGACCCAAAGAAATTATTATTTTTAGAAAATAGTCCGGGGCTCCTAAAACTCAACCAATTTTATTCTATTTACTCTGACCAACACGTCGACAAATTTGGTTAATGTTAAAATAATTATAGTTCCCATTGCTTAGGTAGTTTAATAATCTTTTGTAGTTGAACAAACATATTTGAAAATTGAACATCGTGTGTGACTTCAGGACGCCACAATTGCGTAGAAAAGCATTGACCCCTTTTCAGGAGGACAATTGTCAACCACTTCTCCTTGTAACTTCCCAATTAAATCGATGCAGCTTCAATCAGAATTCCGAACTGCCTTCACCCAATTTTCCCACCTTGAGGGCTTTTCCTCGGCTCGATTTCTTGTTCACTTAAGTTGTTTTTGCGGTTTGTGGTTGTCCATGTTGCTGTTGTGTTGCACTTATTATGCAAAATTCGGCAACCGAGTGCCAGATACATATACATACATATAGTAGAGGGTCAGCAGCCATGAAATTTCCGAGGCATTGCACTGGATGCAATTTGTGGCTGCGGATAATGAAGAGGAAAGGCCTTCATGTCTCGTCGAGTAAGCTGTGGCTCCATCCAGCCTGCCAGACTGCTCCTTCTGTTCTTGTAGAAAAGACATTAAAAACGTCTGCATTGCGAACGCATAAATATGGCAGCAAACTAAACGCACAGACATCGGCACTCTGAAATAGACGAGGCTGTTGGTTGCGGTCCGGTCAAATAAGGCTGCAAATCTGAAATTGGTCATCGGGTCCAACTCGCATCGATGTTGTCAGTCGCTGTTTTCCATTAGCGATGAGAGATGAGTGCCGCCAGAGACACAGATACAGATACTAGGTTCATTTGGAGAATGCGGCTCGCAGCTATAGAGATGATTCAATTTCCGATGAATTCCTTTCGTTACCCATGCTTTCTTTAATCACCTTTCGAATAAGATCACTTGCCTGGAAATAAAACTTACGAAAATTGTTTACAAGCTGTTCGGAAACTCGCCTCTCACTTGAAAGTAGATTCACTTCTCAAAATGTTTTTCTAATTGCTCAATTTCTGTACTGGTTTTAGAACAGAAAATCTGTTTAAATCAAATTAACAAAGTGATAAGTGTCTTCTGGCTATTAAAAAAAAAGAAACAGACTCAATTAAACGAATTAACTGTTTAATTGTTGTTGTTTGGGTTTTATTTGTTAACTTTCTTTACAAAAACCTATCTTAGTTGGTCATACATTTGTTAATGAGTAACATCCCATAACTCCTTGATCATTATTATTTTTTCGATATTGCTTGAACCACTAAAATTGTTTTCATGCTTGAGCGGGATAAGTTATCTTCCATTCGTATATTTTGAGTAATAAATCGATAATGGTTTGCTAGCTGATAACATAGTTGAATAATGAATTAGCTCATAGTTCGACTTTGATAAAAATAAGTAAATTACTGTATGAAAAGGTTATCATTATTATTTATAATCGGAAGTTGTAGGTTATTCTAAATCACTGGGAATGAAAATAATGTTCAACTTAATTTAAACAATAGATTAGTTAGTTGGATTTCCCGAAGCTCATCACTGATAGCGCGTCTGGTTTTGGGCCTGGGTTCTGGGCCAGTTTTTGATGCAACTTCTGCTCCTGGTCACGATGATCTTTGCCATCGATGGTAGCCAACAAAAGCATCCGGCTGTTGCCAATTTCGATGGCTGTGTTTGCTTCTTTCACTGTTTGTTTGTTTGTTCGTTTGCCTGTTGGTTTTGTTTGCTTTTATCCGTGTGTGACTTATTGGCCCGAAAAATTTCTACTCACACTCGTACATAAATAGTGCGATGGCCTTTTGCCCCTTCACAATCCCCCCAAAACACTCAGTAATCTTGTTTTTGCCATTCCGTCCATCTTGTGTCCTGTTTTTGGTGTTTGTCACTTGTTTTTGCCAAAATTGGCATTCGTGGTTATTTCCCCTCCTCGTCTCCTTTGTAGCTTTTTCTCTCCCAACGCCGAAAACATTTTGAGAACGTGCTCGGAAAAATTGATGAGTGGCACGGAAAGAGATGGTTATAGATTGGGCGAAAGAGAGGGTGTAAGTTTAATGTGTGTGACTGTTGCAAGTGCCACACTATTCACTTTCCCTCCCTTTCTTTACTATCTCATTTACAAATCTAGCCCTTCATTAGCATTAATGCAATCTACAGTACACATTGAAAATAGGTTTTTTTTTTTAATATAATAGAGAATATACTAAACTCATTTAACTATTAGCTAGGCAAAATTAGTGGAAGTATCCTGTCACTCCAAAGGTGTTAAGCCCAATTATACCACGCCTCTTTTGACATTGTTGCACTCCTCCTTTTCCGACTGTTTCTTCCTTTATATCTCCTTTATTCCATCTCCCTCCCTCAGGTTTGTTCGCCTGCTGGTTGTGTTTATTTTCCTGGATTTCTTGGAATATCGATTCATCGCCAGACGGCGACAGACAGCGATAAGGTTCAGCCGCTATTGGGTTTTCCATTCGATCGATTCTGGGGATCTAGCTACCTAAACATCCGACACTTCCTTGAACTGAGTAATCATATTTCGATTTGTTTCCATTCTCGATGCTTTCATCGAAAATTTGAATAAAGTGGCTGTTTGATATGTTTCTGGGTTAAATTCGAGTTGCAGATTTGATCGTGTATTTAATTGAATCGAACTCTTTGTATACATTTTTGGTTAAATTTATTTGTTTGTGATTTTCCAAAATTGTTTTAATTATGATATATCGCAGAAGTGCTTTTGTTTTTGTTTTTAAGCTTACCATTTGTAAAAACCTTTTTGTAAATTTAGGAATTATTGTTGACATAACAAAATCTGTAAGCTTATGAATAATTTGGATGTTAACGAATTGTTGTAATGTTTATTTTTGGGATTGTTTTTCATAATTTCAATATTTTTCTATGTGTGCCTAGCTACTATTTTAGTTTACTAGATTAGATGCCAATCCCATTGATATAATGCTTTACAACTAATTTTATTCAAATTTCTATTGTATTTCCATACACATTCAGGTTTCATCTCTGCTCATTCATTTCATTCAATCTTTGTTCATTACCTTGCCCATATGTTCATTATCTTCCCCTCTCGTTTCTCCTTATTTCCGCCATATGCGGTTTACATTTTTTTCAATTATTATTCACGTGTGTCTCTTTTCATTTGACTTTACACCAGCAATCATGTCTCATGTTGTTGTTGTTATGCACTTGCATTTGCTCTCTGTCTCTTTCTTTTCCACCTCTTTCGCTTTTGTCTTGTCGCACCTTGTAATTTACTTACAAAAAAGTCAACCGAATTTATTGTACCCTTGATGTTGAAAAAATGATAACAATTATTTGATTGGTTTTGATCATGTAATATAGCCTAACTCCAGGTTTGAATACGTTGTGTATTTTAGCAAGGATTAGCTAGAAATTTATTTATATATGTCCCAAACTTACGGAATGCAGAAAAAATGCTGCTATCAATACTGCTGAGAATGTCAAAATGTTATCATAAAAAGTTTTAAAATGCATAATATGTATGGTTGATTTTTTTAATGTCAAACCGAGGAATGTACATACACACATACATGACAGATTAATTGCGGTAATCTAAGTTCAATTGAAAACCCCAAGTAATCTGCGTCATTTGCTAATTAAGCCAGTGTAAACAAGATCGTGAGAGAGGAAGAGAAAGAACTAAAGGCAAAAACAAGGAAAAGGAAAGAGAAAATCACGCTGAACACCTGTAATTTAGCTGTAACATAAACATATTTATAAATTACTGAATTTTTTCACTTGCACCTGAAAAAAATACAATTCAATTAAAATAATAACCGAAGGTTTACCGCAAATAAATCACAAGCAAAAACATTTGCTACATACATAATTGAGCGAAGAGCGAGAGCGCACAAAAAGTCGAAGAGAGAGTAATTGAGAGACAAGCAGAAAGAGAGGGAAAGAGAGTTCGTTGTAAATTGTAAATGAAGCAAACGAACCGAGGAAGAAGCAGAAGCCAGCATAAAAAAATGTTTGTGCGCTGGCGGCATGTAAATATGTAAGTGTATGTGTGTAGGCTGCAGACAACTTTGGTGAAGAAGAAAAGGCAGAATACAGAAAGCGTCCGGAGTTGAAAACTCCGGCAGAGAAGTTTGTCTACACTGGGTAACAAAACGGGGGGATTTAATGTAACGGGTCTAATCTTATCACGGGATGTTATGAGTGGCTAACTAAAAATTGTTTAGTCCAAACGAGATCGTAATCATTTCAGCAGTTCGATTTAAAAAAAAAGAAAAAAAGTAGGATTTTTAGAAAGTTTAAAAACTAGTTCAAGGATTTTGAAATATTTTTAAAAACTGTATAGTCAAAACATATACATATCTGCTAAGTCGAATCGGTTCAGTAAAATTCAGTACAACTTAGTGTTTTTGTTCTGTTGCTTTTGGTAATTGAAGCACATTTAAATGTGTTTTCGGACAGGTTCCTCGGAGCATGACTGATGGGTCCTTAATTGCAAGTACCATTTGATGGGACCCTTACCCCGAATCAGACCCCCTGTAGGCTAGTGTTTTCGGGTGGGATTCTCGCGACCTCGTCTTGAGTCTTTTGGGTTGGGTCTTCAGTCTCTGAGTCTCCGTTTCCGTCTCTTCGGGCCTTTGGCCCGTATGATTTCAAGATTTCAGTTTCTGCTGAGGCGGCGTAGGTATGTATGTAGGTATAAATGTTTGTTCGTTAGTGCGTGTGTTGTGTGTCTGCTGTGGTAAACAGCGCAAACACACAAACACCGTCTCATTAATAAATACCTACACACATTCGTACATACTTAGGCCGGCAGCGTCGCGACCCAAAGACAG